GAAAGCAGATTTTTAATAAATGAATGAAATGAAAAAACTTTATTCAAAAATAAATTTTCATATATTGAATTATACTTTTTACTTCATTTTTATATGTTCGAAACATAATATAAAATGTATATATATTTTTATATTTTGCATTTGTTGTTAGCATATCTCGTTGCGAAATCTTTCTTCATTTCATTTATTTTTCGCCCTCTGAAATCTCTTTCGCTCACACTGAAATTTATTATTTCAATTTATTGTGCCATAAATTTCATTTTCGAAGTGCTCAATATAGCCCCCACTTATATATATAAATATATATATATATGTATGTGGGCATGTTCGCATGCTGATTTCCATGAAAAATGTTGAGAACAAAGCGCTGGAATTATTAGTTCCTTAAACGCTTGGCTTAGGGCAATTGTCCTGCGGCGCTGACAGCAGCTGGCGTATATGAAATTTGAAACAATAATAACAAGTGAGACGTAGACACTGTTTCTTTACGAGTTTAGCCCTATGCCAGGTAACGCACGCCAGCACCCACCGTCGTGTCCTTGAACTTTGAAATTCAGCTAAAATTCATAAAAAAATATAATATGTTGCCATGCGCTTGATAACGTTCTGTGGATATGGCGGCACAAGGACTTACAGGAGTTTTTTCTCATTCGTTTTTGATACTCGGTCTGGGCTTTGATATTTATTCAAGTTGAGCTTTTAAAATTCGCTTATATTACTTTCAAAATCTTAAACTGGCAAATGCAAATCAAGCTTTAAGCTTCACACTTGTAAATATTTATGCTTGTAACTCATACGCCACGTGCTACATTTTGACAGCCTCTTTCGTTGCGTCATAAAGTTTTTACACATCTGTATATATGTATGTAAATGTGTATGGGTCTCTCTGTGTGTGTGTGCATTTTGGCGAAATAGCCGACGGCCATTAAAATTTCAAAAGTAATTTCAACATTGCGCTGGGCGGCTCAGCGATAATGAAAAAAAAAGATATGTAGGTTTGTATATGTACGTACATGCAGGAAACGTGTGCGTGCACTTGGGGATACAACAACCAGATACTGAGAAATGTCTTCAGCAATACTCGGATATGGGCTAAAGTCTTTCAATATGATTTCGTTCGGCCTGCCTTGCCGCCCACCTCCGACTCAAGCACGGTTCGGGGACAACTCGGCGTATGCGTAATATGGCTGTTGCTTCTGCTGCTACTTGTTCAGAGGCAACTGCTCCAACTCATGAATATTTTGGGGCAAAATGATGCGTAGCAGCCACGACCAATGCCAATGTACTCCCGTCTTCTGCGTAATGAATTCTGACAGCAGCTCTCCAGCTCTCCAACTCCGCCTTGATTTTCTTTTTTTTTTGTTTGTTTTTTTGATTGGAGTGCACAGGGAGTGGAGCGTAGCGCGGCTTGTGTCTGTAGCCGGAAGCTAAATACAGTTATACTAACATTTACTGCCACAGAGGGGATAAACGTATATACACACTCGATATTAATGCCACAGCGTCTAAGCAAAGCGAATTTTGCCAGAATTGAAATACTTTAAAATCACTAATTGTTTTCAACTCAACTGTGAACAAGAACAATATTTAAACGCATTAGAAATGTTGATTTATCTTGTCCAGATATACTTAATTCCCAATTTGTAATATAATACATTAAAGCTTATTTAAGTACTTTGTTCGAGTTATCTTCCTTGAGCTCTGCAAACTCTCGTAAATATTCCAGCAAAAACTCATTAAAAACAAACATTTCCCGCAGCTTTATACATAAATTATTACAGTATTTTTAAATCATAAAACTGAGTCGTTTTCTCTCGTTCATATCATTATATTTATGCAACTCAGAATTTCGTTTGTCACGTTGACCTCTTTCTATATTTATTTCGTTCATTCTATAATATTTTCAAAGTTACTTATAATTTATACTTTTCCTTCCTAAATATAGATATTAGTTCGCCCTTTTAATGCTACTCACTGCATTTCCAACAACTTGAAGTGCATTGCAGTTACAAACAGCATTTTGCAAAATTTAAATATTTAAAATAACCACATGCAAGCCCTGTGGCGCTCTGCGGTCTATCTAAGCTAATTAAGTATTTTCAACGTGCATTTTGAAAGTTTTGAAAAATAAGTAATTAGTAAATTCCATTTTCTTTGACCATCAAAGTCTTCCATCTTAAAACGGGTATATTAGTACCATGCTTCAGTTACGACAGGTTTGTTACCAATTATAATGGTTCAAAACGAACTTAAGTCTTTAGCTCTTCAAATATACGAAACATACTTGACTATCAATATTTGAGTAAATTAAATCCGAATATACGAAATGCAACATTTCCCCTTAACTTTTCCGTTTTCCATTTATATATAGACATTTAGAATATATACATACCAGAGATTTTTTGGAATCACTTTAAACGTTGATGTAACATTAGTTCGAAGAACTGCTAATTAGCAACATGTTATGAAAGAGGAATGAATAAAGCAGAGATTCAATGACTAATGACAATTGCATACACAAATAGTTATCTTCAGCGTTATGAAATTCGCACAAAGAGTAGGGTTTGTCATTGGAAAGAAAAAGGAACCGAACGTGAGTCCAGCTGAGGGACGGTGAGAGAAACAAGAGGTTCAGTTGGCATATGAAAAAAGAAGAGGCAACACAAAGTTACAAAGTTAAATAAAAGAAAGTAAAAGGGAGTCTGAAATGGATGCCTGAACCCTCTACTGAGGAATCATCTCCATCCTCGACAGCTATCGATGACGTTAACTTCACCTACTTAAACCATTCGTTCTTTATATCCTTTCCTTTATATAAGCTTAACCGGATCTAGAATTCATAAAGTAGCTGATTTATAATTTCATTAATTTGCAGCTGCAAAAGTTATCTTTCACATATAATAAACTAAGTTAAGCTATTGTGAGAGGGAAGCTGGGGTTCATTTCCAGAATGCAAAGTTAAATTAAAAATGGTCAGAAAATGTAATGAAATGAAGCTTTAGAGTCGACAGGTGAAAGTCTAAAGGTAATTGAATGCCGTGCAAAAATGCAGTCCTGCCAACTTATAGACAGCGGCCAAAAAGCAAATAATTTCCGCCCCATTGAAAGACTGCTGGCAACCAGGGACCCAGACTGGCATGTGGTAAAAGAGAATGTGAGTGACTGGCAGTTAAACCGCAGGTACCAGCCAACCATGAAAGCATATTCATGTTGCAAGCGCCACAGACAGGTGGCCAGAGCGAAGGCACGTGCAATGTGCACTAATTGAATAGCAAAAGCCCTCGGGCGAAGCCAAGTAGAGGGCGAAATTCAAAATGTCACAGAGAATAGCGATTTAGTTGATGCAAATATCTGTTGATGCGGTTAGATTGTGGCATGGCAATACTAATTGCAACATTCCCAGTAAGCATCAAGCAGTCAACTGCAAAAGTCAGCAGACGAATTAAGTCTAATTAATACCTCAGAATGTAATTAGTGATGAGGTTTACTTGTAGCCAGTGCTTTAAAGCTATTTGAGCGCTCAAATTGCTTTCTAATGTTGTTATCAGAATTCACACTTGACCTTAACGTTGAGCAAAGCAAGCTAACGATGGACCCGTGTCGCAGAACGTCGCATACGATATATTTTTATATATGTATGTGTTACGCTCTGTAGTTGGATATCAAGTTGAGCTTGTGTTAAGTTGTCACATTTCATAAGCCAAAGTTAAATCTTGTTAGGTCGGGTTAAGTCGTGCTTAGTCTAGACGAGTCGTGTCAAGTTGTGTCACGTGCTCAGCCTTTTGAACAGTTCTCTCTCATCTTTGATTTCCGCTGCGCAAACCTGCAGCCGATTGCTTCTAGCTCAATGAGTTTCTGAGGTAAGCCACAATGCAGTCCAGCTTGGGTATGGCCCCTGCGCCTTGTCTCCTTTGCCATCAGCTTGACCGCAGTACGCAGGACGTTAACTGGTAGCGGCTTATTTCATTTCTGCTCTCAGTTCACCGACATGTGGACTGTGGCCGACTCTTGAAAGTAGATTATAATGTTGACGTGGTCATCACCTTTTGCGCATATGCTGGATAATGCGTGGCCAATGCCAATGCGTATCAACTATGCATTGGCATGTGGCATGGCATGTCACCTGCTGTTAAATGGGTCAACTGTACCTATGAACTTAGCTGTAGGCTTTAAAGAGCTGTATATTGTGTTTTCTATTGTTGGTTGATTTCTTTGGATTTACTCGAGTTAACGCCAATTTCATTCCGTCTTCATTGGTCGTTTAGCTAATAAAATATAGTTAAACTCGACTGGCAGACATGGCTCGCCAAGCCAAGGCTTGGCCAAGGCTAGACGTCATGCTAACTCATTAATTTAATAAATAATACATAGAAGCGAAGTTTTCCAACATCAATTACTCGAATGAACTTGGCCACTAAAAGAGCAGCAACATCGTCTGCCGCTGGCCAAGAACATGTTGCGTGAAGGACATGCGCGCCATAAATTAGGCAAGCAAATTATAATCTGAAAACTGATGTGCTTTAGTTATCATTATTATTAGCTTCACTGTTAGTGTGCTGGTACAGACAAAATGTGGCAGTAATTGCGGGAAGCGGCGTGGCCGACGCATATAATAATACGGCTTTTGTTCTGCTTTGAGGGCTCGGCGCATTGTTTTGCACATTCCATTCTAAGAAGGCGTGGCGGGCGCTCCTGTCTGCATATTAACATAAATATGAGAGTTATTTGCATGTTAATGAGGAAACAGAAACTAATAGACCCATCTTTGATTACACAACTAATGAGCAGGTCTCGCATGTGGCAAATATACATATATACATGTATGTGTATCACATATGTATCTTAATACTTAGCTTAATATTGGTGTAGTATGGGTTTTCTACTGAAATGAAATGAAATCAAGAAACAAAAATAATTCTAATTTAAGCTAGACAGTTAGCCGGAATCGTAAACGGAATCATAAGCAATTCTAAATTAGGAATTCCCTCTCCTTCTTGCAGATAATCACACCTACCCGCTCTCTGGTGCTGTGCGCCGACTCCAGACGCGATATGGAGGATTGGCTAGGATCGCTGAAGACAGCTACGGCGCCGCAGCGTCCTCGTGGCGATAGCTTTCTCATCGATCAGCATGACATACTCTCGAATCACCATCACTGGTATGCGACCTCCCATGCACGACCCACCTACTGCAATGTATGCCGGGATGCGCTGTCTGGCGTTACGTCGCATGGCCTCAGCTGTGAGGTTTGCAAGTGCAAGGTGCACAAACGATGTGCGGCCAAAGCGATTGCCAACTGCAAATGGACAACGTTGGCGACGGTGGGCAAAGATATAATCGAACAGCCCGATGGCAGCATCATCATGCCCCATCAGTGGATGGAGGGCAATCTGCCCGTCTCGGCCATGTGTGCGGTTTGCAAGAAGACCTGCGGCTCGGTGTTGCGGTTACAGGATTGGCGCTGTCTCTGGTGTAGGGACACGGTGCACGTGGCTTGTCGACCGCAAATGGCAATTGCCTGTCCCATTGGTCCCGCCAAACTATCTGTAGTGCCGCCCACCAGCGTGCATTCCATTAGCACGGACGACGCCTGGGATGTGGTCAGTCCGAAGGGCAACTTTTCTCCGCTGCTCGTCTTTGTCAACTCCAAATCCGGCGACAATCAGGGCGTCAAGTTTTTGAGACGTTTCAAGCAGCTGCTGAATCCGGCGCAAGTATTTGATCTGATATCAACGGGACCCAGCTTGGGTCTTCGTCTGTTTCGTCACTTTGAAATGTTTCGCATACTCGTCTGCTCCGGCGATGGCTCCGTCGGCTGGGTGCTCAGCGAGATTGATCGCTTCAATATGCACGTAAGCTATAATTACCTTACCTTTGCTTCTTTATCGATGCTTATCTGAATCTCTTACAGAAACAATGTCAGGTGGCTGTCATGCCTCTGGGCACGGGCAACGATCTGGCACGGGTCTTGGGCTGGGGCTCCAGCTGCGATGATGACACCCACCTGCCCCAAATATTGGAGCGCTACGAGTCGGCCAGTACCAAAATGCTGGATCGTTGGAGTATTATGGTATTCGAGAAAGCCATCACTGTGCCCAAGATACCAAAGATGTCCATTACCACGGAACAGGAGGCTCTGCTCACGGGCATGGTCACGTCGGCCAACCATCACTTGCGCTTCATAGTCGAGACGAACGATACGCAAACGTTAATCTCATCTACGCGCTCCTTGTGTGACACCATCGACGAACTGATCTCGCGCATCTGTGAGCATCACAAGGACGACGAGCAGTTGACTATGAAATGTGACATCCTAAGGCAGAAGCTGACAATGCTGCTGGACGCCTTGCAGGAGGAGGAGCTGGGTACGCACAGTGGCGACGATCTAGTAGCCACTATAAGGAGCTTAATATCGCGTAGTGTGCCCTTAACATCGGGACGTCCATCGTTTCTGTAAGTGAAAGTGTAAATAAATTTAATTTTATTTCAGGGAGACTACATCATTTCAGTATTGCAAATATATATTGCATCAATTTTTAATTTGTTGGCTGTTTGCAAGTTTTTGAGAAAGCTTTATGAAGCAGTGTTGACTGCTTTTAAGTTTATAAAAAACTGCACTTTCATTTATATACCTTGCACTGCTTGGTGTGTAGCTGAACTACTTGCCAAGCAGTGCACTGCGTCTCAGTAGCGCGGAGCAAATGTTGAATTTGAAATGCAATTGGTTAAATTTATATCATTAGACAATATTGATTATGTTATTATTTATGCATTCTAGCAATCCAAATATATCTATTGAAAAAACTGAAAAGGATAATATTAACACAAAGGAGCGACGCAATAGCCGCTCTCTGCGCTCCAGTGAGAAGGAGGCGTTGCAATGTCGGGCGAATAGTGTAAAGCGCGCCATTTACAATGTAGTGGAACACTCGGAGCCGGGTCGCCCCAAGCGCTACCAGCGTAAGCTGTCAATTACACCCTTTGAGGCGCTTAAGATACCTATTACAAACTCAGGGGACTCGACGCCCTGCGGCTCTCCGCTGCCAATTATACCACCCATCAATATTATCTCGCCAACAATGGAGACATCGCGCCTTACCTGCATCTCCCCGCTGCCAGACACGCGTCGCGATTCAGTGGATGAGAATTTCTTCAACAGCATCAATTTGCCGGCGCCACGTCAATTTGCGGACAGTCGCCGCAGCTCGGGTGTCCCTGAAGTCATACAAGAAATGGAGGAGGGCGCCAATGGGGAGACAATCTATCGTATTGGCCGCCTCTCGTTGAGCGGCGGTGCCAACATAGATGATGCGGGCAATCGTCTGTCGCCAAGCAGCGAGGGAGGCGACAACACGCCCACCGAGCGCAAGGTGGACTTTCTGCGTGTACCGATCATAACAAGCGAGCCGATTGTAGATCCACTGTCTAACTATCGACCAATCGAGGTATTCGAACGCACCTACTACATGACACGCGAGCTGGACAAGGATAAGGAGCGCACTGCGAGCAGTCAGGCCGATTGCGAGAAAGAGGAGGCGGATGTCAATGAGAAGTGCGAATCGCTGGAGCCGCAGAGTGCTCTGGTACATACTTGTAATCTACAGGTACCCGGCATTGTCGTAACCCCCCAATCCCAAAATGTCTATACGAGCGAAAGCCTCACAATCATTGACACCGATGCCCAGACCAACACTGTATGGCATTATCTAACTATCAGTCGAGAAGGAAACTTAGCTGGCTCTTCTTTTGCTCTTACAGGAACAGTCATCCTCAGAGGATCTGGGCGGGGAAGCGAGTGATGTGCTCTCCGCCATTAGCAATGAGGAATGCAGCGTGGCATCCGAGATCTTCGATAAGCCCGAACCGGGTCACACTCTAGGCGACATTATACAGGTGAGTAGAAGGCCTCTAACCAGCAAATTATAATTAACACCAATCTGTGAATCTTCTTGAATAGAACCTGGATGCGAGCAACTTTACGCACATTGATTCGCCGGAGACAAGCGATGAAACAGAGCCCATGCACGGCGAGAGTTTGATGGATGACATTAGCTCAGTGCTGGGCCATGACATAACCAATGCGCTGCAAGACAACACCATTACGGACGACACCACCACACTCTGCTCTGAGCATGCTGGGCCGCCGAAGCCACCGCGTAAGAAATCTTTGAATACACTGACCCAAAGCAAAACGCATCCACGTCGACGCAACTCCTCGCCGCCACGCAGGGCCGGGCTCGCACGCATGGACAGCGACGATAACCCACAGCAATTTGGCTTTGAGAATATCGTATTTGAGATCGATAATCGTTGCGACGATCAAAAGATACGAGAGCCGCCGCGCTACTGCAGCCTGGCGCAGTTCGTGGAAGGTAACGATATAGCGCGTCAGAGTTTCAAGGTACGTCTTAAACGCCGATCCGGCCACAAGTAGGTAAAGTTTAATAAATAAATATATATATATATTTATATATTTATATATATATATCTATATATATATACATATATATATAGAGCTATAGCTATGTTACGTTTATCGAAAGTGCTCAGACATGGCCACTTATGGTAAAAAATTTTTGTTGCTCTCCGTTTGCTTCTTTCTTCAAACTTTTCTTTTCGTGTGTATTTAACAAACCGAATACGTTCACTTGCTTGCCTCAAATCCAAATCCAAATCTCCAAATCGAACTCTTAATAATATAAACATATATATAACAAAATCGATCCAAACAAATATCAAATATGTATATCTCCTGCTCCTGTCGACTCTCTAACGTGAAGCGTCCCAAAAAGCGCATCTCACTCAAGAAATTGAATGCAAATACAACAACAACAATCGTATCTCAACAGCAGCTAATGCTTGATTGCAATAGCAGTGACAACAATGAAAACACCAACAACGAAGAGGCGGATACGCCCACAAACGCAGCCCCAACAAGAACGTATCGAAATCTAACAACGACTACGACTAGCGACGATCTGGATGAACTGTCCACGCAAACTGCAATTAAAATTGATATAAACAATGCAACTACAACCACGACAACAACAACAACAACGACAACGACAACAACAAAGCCTCTTGAATCGGCAATGGTCTCATCGACATCGCCCACGAAGAAGTCGGGCCATGGACAAGAAGTAAAGCGCATTACCTTTGATGAGTCGTGTAAGAAAGAATCCTTTGATGATGTAAATCCCAACTATCCACAGATAAGTGTTGTTGTAAGGCCACCAACACCGTTGCGTGGTGATTCCGTAAAGCCAACAGGATCGTCATCATCCATATTGGCGACCTCGTCGTCGCTGCTCGGTGTACGCACGTTGAGCTCCTCGGAGATACGACGACACTCGAGCCACGCGCCCAGCTTGGCTGTACGCGATTTTGACAAGGATAAAGATCGACGACATTCCGGTTTCAATCCAAATTTCCTAACATTGGACCCGGAACATGCGCGCTTCCTCAGCAGTTCACCAGCGGCTAGTCGTAGAATTAGCTGTGGCAGCCTCTTCAAGGTAAGTCCTGACCCAAAACAGTTAACTCCCCCACATATACCATATATATATATATAGATAAAAATATATATATATATATATATGATTTACGTTGGCACTACTGCATCAGCAAGCGAAAATAAATGTATATCAGCCGAGCAATGGCAACGCAGAAATCCAATCAAAAATACTCGTACACACAAATGCGATTTTAGGTAATTGTTTCTCATATACTTGTCGCGGTATTAAAAAAAGTTCTGTACGGAATACAGGGGTATTCTAGCTGCAAATTTACATCTGTTCATACACGAACTTCATTTAATTTCTTTTGTAGTTTTTTGTGCGATTCACATGGCAAACATTTGTTTTGAATATTTTCAATTTATTTATAAATAAGAAACACTCCTTATATAGATAAAGGCAACCATATTTTAATTTATTTTAATAAAATTGATAAAGAAAGATTAGAGGAGATCACTACTCATAAAAAATAATGCAATTTAAATTGATTTTAAGTACAAATCAAATCAGCTTTAAGTGTACTGAATATTCGACTAAAACTGAAATTCGAATTTATGGAACCATGTGAATTGAACAATGTATACCACATAAGTTTTTACTATAATTTGCCACATTAAGTATAATTTGGCTCGTTGCGTTTGAGAAAAACAGATTTTATTTAAATAAAAAATAACACAAAATCAATAAAAAAAAAAACTACAACTAATACCACATATATAGAATTATATATGTATGTATACAAACTTATATAAAAATACAATATATGTTTTACAAAGCACAAATCAATTGGTACGTATTTCAAAATTATGTCAACTACTTCTATGAATTTCTCTTTTAGTTTCACAACACTGAAAAGCTTTTAACACACACTCACACATACACATTCTATATACACATAAAATATTTATATATATAATCACACATACACATAATATTATTTATTTTTGCGAAAACAAAATGCAATTTCTTAGAAGAAAAACCAAAAAACTAACACTAAACGCACCTACGGACTGTTCAGTGTGCGTTTCTTTGTCGTCGCCGAACCAGACATACGCCTGGCAACCCTGGCGCTTATTAGGCCGCTAATACCGCTGGTAAGCCCGTTAACCAGAGGTCGGGGTCTCTCCTTTCTACTGCGTTCCTGAGTTCGTTCGTTCCATGCGCTCGTTCGTTCGTTCGATCGTTCGTTCATTTGATCGTTCGTTCGTTCGATGTATATCCGTAACCCCAGCAAATGAAATAACTATATCGATTTATACAAAATATTCTAGTAATATCCCCTGTACAAAGTGCCAGTCTCAGCTTTCGTTTCAGTTTGTGATTAAAGCACACGCGTCAGTTTGAGTTGATTTTCTTGATTTACACACGTGTTGTCGTCTTGAAAAGTAGTGTTGCCTAAAACCCATTAACATAAGCTATCGTTAACAAATACTAACTACTTAACAATTTCCATAACACAAGCTAATATAAACTACGCTCTCCTTTGTATAAGTTTTTCGTTTTTGTTTCCAAGTAGTGCCCTATCTTTCTCTCTCTCTCTCTCTCTCTATCTTTCTCCCTTTCGCTCAAAACTTACCATCAGCTCCCCACTTATGAAACCTGCGTCTCTTATTACACGACACTGGCACACGCACATAACTCCACAATCCAAGCGCTCACACACACACACTCAATCAGCCACACCCACATGTTTCTTTGTATCGTAGTTAGTGCTGACTTTCCAGTTGCTCTTTGACACCAATGACCCATTGCACCCAGCTACATCTAATCGCTGACTCTTTCTTGCAGCCGAACGAAGCTTTGCCTAATCTCCAGACACTCAAGGGCTCCAAGTCGAGTCTCTTTATGGGCTCTACACTCTTCGGCTTCGAGCACTTCAGCGCCGGCGACAAGGACGAGAAGCCCGGCAAGGACAAAGAGAGGACCCCCACAGAAGAGACCAATCGCAAGCTGCCCATTATCAATCCCTTAGTTCGCTTGCCCAACTGGCCCAGTAAGTAAATAATATTAATAATTATTCATCTATATTTGATGTATTTATTTTTATAATTATTATTTCTTTTTGCTTCTGCCTTACTTACAAACTAACCTTCTCTTTCTACAGATCTGGCCAATGGCACTGGCTTCATATCCAAGTGCCTGATGGCCAATGCCGACACGCTGTGCGCCGCCGTTAGTCCGTTGATGGATCCGGATGAAACTCTGCTTGCTGGCTATTATGAGAAGTGTGTGATGAACAACTACTTTGGCATTGGCATCGATGCAAAGATCTCCCTAGACTTTCACAATAAGCGCGAGGAGCATCCAGAGAAATGTCGCTCCCGAGCACGAAATTATATGTGGTACGGAGTGCTGGGCTCCAAGCAGCTGCTGCAGAAGACCTGCAAAAATCTAGAGCAGCGCGTGCAGCTCGAGTGCGATGGCCAGCGCATACCTTTGCCAGAGCTCCAGGGTATTGTTATACTAAATATACCCAGCTTCATGGGTGGCACCAATTTCTGGGGCAACAGCAGCAAGAAGGAGGACATCTTCCTGCCGCCCAGCTTCGATGATCGCGTGTTGGAGGTGGTCGCTGTCTTTGGATCAGTGCAGATGGCTGCCTCGCGTCTGATCAATCTGCAGCATCATCGCATTGCCCAGTGCCAAAGCGTGCAGATCAATATACTTGGCGATGAGGAGATACCGATTCAGGTGGATGGCGAGGCCTGGCTACAGCCACCGGGTATGATACGCATCCTCCATAAGAATCGCGTCCAGATGCTCTGCCGCAATCGCAGCCTGGAGGTGTCGCTCAAGAGCTGGCAGGAGAAGCAGCGTCAGCACAGTATTTCCATACAGCGCGACACCTCCTCGACTGCCTCTGAGCACGCTGTCTCCACGGATGATGTCATATCAGAGCGCGAATGCTATGTGCTATTGAATTTCATCGAGGCAGTTAGTTCATTGGTCAAGTGGGTTAAGTTCTTGATTATTTCACATCCGGCACTGCAGCACGATCTATATGAGGTGGCCTGCCGCGCCAGCGAAGCATTGGAGTCCATACATCCACAGGGCAAATTATTGGAGGGTCCCACTCTGCGCACCAAATTGGTGGAAGTCATCGACTCCTCACGCCAGCTGTACGATGATGCGTGCTCCCTGTTGCGAGATCGTGGTCATAGTCTCATTCTGCGCGAGGATCTGGAGACAAAGCTGAGTGCTGCGTTGGCTAACATGGAAATGGAGCTCAAAAAGTGCTCCGTGCAGAAGTGCATCGATGGCAAGCTGCGCGCCTACTTTAATGTACTAGCGCCCAACGAGGAGGTAAGGATTATTTATTGGTGAAATTGAGTTTCCTTAATAATTGTTTCATAATCCTTAGCCCGATGGACGTCGCAAATCGCGTCCATTCTGGGTACGCTTGCGCTCCGGATCCACTGCTGGCCAGCAGCAGTTCAAGCCTCCGCTCACAAACACCCGTGAGGCAGCCAACAATTGGAGCGTCAACGAGGTGGTCACCTGGCTAGAGACGATGCAGCTGTCAGAATACGTAGATAGCTTCCTCAAAAACGATATACGCGGCAAGGAGCTACTCACGCTGGGCAGGCGAGATCTGAAGGATCTGGGCGTGGTCAAGGTGGGCCACGTGAAACGCATACTGCAGGCCATTAAAGATCTAAGCGAGAACTAAGCATGGTACAAAGGCTAAGATAAAAGTGAAATTTGTTGTGTTTGAATGTAGTTGTTATCGGTTAAAGATGTGGCTATTCAGCATGGTAGGTAAACGATATAGTTTTATATGAGACAAATGCATACAACAATCACTATTTATAGACTAGCTTAGCTAAAAAGGTATAAAACTCCCAAATACGTTTATTTTTCCTGTATTTTGGGTGAGCAGCAAGAAGCCTAGCAAACATTTATCTGTATTTAATTAAATATCAAAAACAAAAAGAGAACTTTAAATATTAATACTCAAGATCCATATATATATATATATATATATATATATATATATATATATATATATATAATTTATTTTTCCAGCGAAACATATATATATAAATATATAAAGTCTTATCAAACCATAGTTATATAAATATGTATCCATATATATATATATATATATATATTTATATATATATATATATATGTATATATATAGATACATATTTATATAACTAAATATTTATATTATTAAGTGAACTGAATTTCATTTTTGAATATGTACCTAAATATATACATATAAACAATATATATGTATGTCAAAATTCAAAATTATTTAATTATGGCAGATAAACGAATTTAAACGTAGTGGCACTAAACCAAATAAACAAATTGCATTTAGTTTTAAGTACAGTTTGAAATTCAATTTACGCTTAGCAAAAGTTGTAAACCCTCATTAAACACAAAGCAAGAACTCCCCTTAAAACAAAGATTATTCTAAATTTATAAGCAATTTTCGATTTTACAATTGTAAAAAAAATACTATCTATTTACAAAGAGATAAAATCAACCTTAACATATTCATAATTCTAGTTCAATACAACTAATTTAAATGTTTGCCCACTCTAAAAACTAACCATGCAAATATTTTAAGTAACAAAGAAAAGTCTGTTAAATGTGTCATTTTTGTGTATAACCAAAAAATCGAACTTTTAATATGTTAATTTATATTAATTCAAAAGTTAGCTCTTAAGTTTAAGATTAAGTACGTTGGGTTCGATCTGGTGCGGGGCGCCAGCGCCCGAGATTTATTTGAATACAAAACAAAAACAAAACCAAAAAAAAACAAATTATTTAGCTAGCATTGAAGCTCACAATATTGTGTTTCAGTACTTTTTGGTATACCTTTTGATTGTTTTTTACTCAGCCCTAACTGTGTAATATTTAAGAAATTGTGCTAAATTTTGATAGTTACCTATTTTCAATATAGCAAATGTACGAATACTACATACCATATACCTTTATAAATATATATACACACCCACACATATATATAGATATTATATATATAGCTGCATATATGTTAATGTGTTTTTTGTGTGTTATCCAACATCATTCAATCGTTTCCACCCGTCAACCATACTTACGTTGCTTTTAAAATCTTTGCTCAAGTTGTCTCTAAATTGAGTGAGTTGTTTTTTGAGGAAAGTAAGGTATATGGCACATACTCTTCTATATACAAATATGTATACATAACAAATCTCTTGAGTGACGTCTATATATTATATTTTTTGATATCGAAGTATAAATGAGCCCAGACCAACTCGATTGATTTGTTGTACAGCTGTACCCACTAATTTCCACTGTTTTCGTGTAGCACTCCACAAAGTTTGACACATATTTGTGAAACTATTTACGCTTACAATTAACCCTCGTATAAAAAGGAAAAATAAAACTAAAAACGAAATTTAAGAACTTACTAAGCAAATGTCATAAACACAAACTAAAACAATCCTTTAAAAGAAAAAACATAAGTAATAACAATCAAAACTAACTCGAACACAATTTAAATATTTTTTCGACACATGTATTTTCGAGGAACCTTTAAAAAATAACCAAATTAAACTTATAAAAACTACCATTAAAATGTTTAGTTAATACATTTTAGCTACTTCATATATATTTTCATTGTTGTGTACATGCGAACATAAAAAAATTTACCAAATGCATTTTATTTTCATTTCAACAATACTGTGATAACAGCTTTCTAAAATCCCTTTAAACTAAATTAAACATTTGTAAACCCTAATTTAAATGGTATTGGACAATGCATAATAGTATAAAAAATAATAAAACTAAAATTTAAATTATAATAAATAAAAATAACTTTAAATTAGATCCAAAATAAACCTATGCAAAACCTTGAAACATTTCGAAAGTTGCTCTCAGTAAATCTTATCAATTTTCCAATACTATATTTAAAATTCGAATTTGAAATACCTTAAAACACAATCCGCAATTTAACCAAGTAAACAAATACATTTACTACGATCCAAACCGCAGATCTTTTATCCATATATAATACGCAAATTATAATAGACAGAAATCTTCTTAACGAAAAATGTAATAATAGCAAAAATAATAATAAAACCAAAACACAAAACAAATAATAATTGTTTTTCTTTCAGACAGCATAGAAGAATCCGTCTTTCGAAAAAATAATAAAAAACATTGTTTAAAACGTTTATATGCACTTTTCATTTATTTGATTCATAATTTTATTTTTGTTTTTTTTTTTAACCATCACTTGATTTGTTATTATTTGTATCTTTATAAGTTTCTGTTACACTTTCTGTATGTATTTTTTATAGTTGGTACATAGGGTTTTATGACCTTTTATAAATTGTTTTTTGTTTAAATCTTTGCAAGGCTATTTGGTGTGCCTTAGGTTTTTATTTTATGTGTGACATATGGGCAAAATTATTCAATATTTTTCTTTAGATATTTTTATTGCATTTCTTTCATTTTTTCATTTCTAAAATGCATACGCATTCGCATAGCGTGAAAATAAATTTTTAAAACGTATTTTTTCGATTTTAAAACAAATATTCAAGTTTTTGGATTTGGAAAATTCATGCTTGAACCCCATATACATAGCACACCAATCAGATCATAATGTACGTATTTTTATTTTGTTTTTATTTGTATACATTTAATTTTGTAAACAAGCTAGAATATATATCGAGTTTGTTCTTAAGTAGATTCATATTAAAGTTGCCTAAAATTTGTAAGTACGATAGTTAAAACTAAATGAGTTCCAAATCGTTATTTTTTATATTTTTTAATTCAAATTTTTTGCCATTCTGTTATATCGAACTGTAACTGGAAAGAGGGTTTGTAGACCTTGTTTGTGTATGTGTGTGTCTGTGTGAGAGAGAGAGTTTCATGAAGGCTATATATTTTAGTAAAGTTCTTGCTTATAATCGTGTCTAACTAATGCAGTTTAGAGTATGGTATTTGGTTTTCTTTGAAATCTCATAGATTGCGCATAATAAACAAATGTTTGTTGAGTTTTTCATGGATAACATGGATTCCGTTCTTAACTGGGGGTTTATTTTTTAACTATAAGACTTAGACTTCAACTCAACAGTTTCAACTAACAGACAAGCTTTTCAATGAAAAACATATAAAAATACATACTTTAACTGTTTTTATAAATACCACTGAAACTTTGTTTTTTTTCGTATTTTTTATATTTATGCATTTGCTTTGTTCTTTTAATAAAAATATGTATATGCAAGCAACAATTAAGCTCAAGACTGAAGTTAATCACAAGTAAAATTTTAACTTCAGTTATATTTCTTTTATTAATACTAAATATTAAGCTTTAAATTCTTATTTGTGAAATTATAAACTTAATTCATGTTCAACTTAAGATTCGCTTGTAAAGACTAATGCAAATTTATTTTAAATATGCTTTGTTTTTTTTTTTTTTTTGGTTTTGTACTCAGAAATAAATCAAATTGCTGTCCACGGTTTCAAGCAAATTACTTTTCAGTGTTGACAAATATTTGTTTTTATCTTTTCTTTTGGGGAAGCAGTTTAGTGGGGTTAGCAAACACTGCATTTTATTTAGTTTCTTGTTTCTTTTATTTGTTTCCTAACACATTTTTCGCTTCATTTACTTTATATTTTTGTTACATAATGCCATATATGTATGTAAGTATTTGAAATGTATGTCGCAAAATTATTTTCACAGTTTCTCGCAATACCGCAAACGGTAAACATTTCGCTTTTTTTGTGTAGTACAGTACCTTTGTGTGTGTGTGTGTGTGTGTTATAACCATCATTGCCAAAAAGTGTACTTAAAATATCATTTATATCATTTACTTTTTTGTTGTATTTGTAGCTCATGTGCAAAATCTATTTTTTCAAGTTTGTGTTCTAGTTGCCGGATCACTTTAGTTCACCCTATATGCATTACCCAATATACTCAGCATAAGTATTTTGCGATTGGATTTACCTGTGTTGTTTTCGACTTAATGAAAGTTACAAAAAATTTGAGGTTTTCGTTTTTACCTAAAACACGTTTGTTCATAATGTTGTTCATCATTTTTCTTTTTGTTGGACGGGTCTCTGCGGTGATGTTGTCCTTGCTTTAATGCTATTATAATTCGATTCTTATGTTTTTGAAAATTCTTTTTATTTTTGTTCCAGCTTGTGTTTTGGGTGCTCGCAAAATTCCTGTTATTTCATTTGGGGGATCATAGGCAGTGAAAGTAAGTGTTTTATATATCTTTAGGGGAATAATGCACGTGTAGGACTTTAAATTATATTTATTAGACGGATTTCCCTGACTAATATTAATAGGTAATTTAAATTCAGATGAAATCCTAGTATGCCTCCCATGAAGACTTGATGGAGTTTCATTCTAATTTACTGGTAACTTTCCAAGTGCACGGATATTTAAAGCCGAAACAGTTTTAAGTTTATTGCTGCAAAACTATCGACGAGTCACCACGCTTTTGGCTCTCTTTACCGATAATTATCTATCGCACTGTGTTACAGCTTTTATGTGTAAGATCGTGACAACGTTTCTAATTAAAGTAAGAGAAACTATAAGTAATGAAAGTAGAGCATTTCAAATATATATAATAGGGGTATTACATATAAGGAACTGAACATATATCAAACTATCTATCGACTTTCGCAGTTATCGATTTGAGGCACTATCGATAGTTTTCGCAGCGCGGAATTTGCGGGAGATTAGAGTATGTGGCTTGGCTTTTGCATGCTTGAGGCGGACATTACGTGTCAAAAACTTTTATTGAATTTAGCTAATTGCTTTTTCACTCTTATGCCAAATACATTTTGCACTTGAAGCACTTACGATCCACGTTTTGGATCCTTAGACACTTTCCTCCTTGTTGGCGCTGCTGGTGCTGCTGCTGCCGCCCCAGAAACGATCGAAACGGTCACGTGCCTTCTCCAGGACATCGACGGCAGCAGAACGGGCCGTCGAGGCAGTCGCTGTCGATGAAGAAGATGAAAGAGCCGGTTCCGGCTTGCTGCTGACATCGCAGCGTACCGCCCCGCCCGGCTGGGTGGTGGGCGTCAGTGTTTTGCCGTAGACAGCGCCAGACGAGCTGCTCGCTGTGGGGCTGCCGATCGACTTCCAGGCTGTGTGTGTGTGGATGTGAAGGCATTGGAGGGGGGGAAATAGTTGTGGAAATAGTGTTTTGTAATGTTACGCAAAGGAACTACGCATTTGATACGCTATGTGGAAATACGCATTTTGGCTTAACGATTGTATTAATTTTTTTATATATAAATATTTTTGATTTGCGATATCTTGGCTTAATACTGAGAGAGAGATAGAGAGGGGAAAGTTGTTGCATTATATTTACGCTTGGTTTTTGAGTTTGGCTTTGGCAGGTGTTGCGATTTTGGTATTTTGAAGATTGCTTAACGATGATTGGATTTTTGGATGATGGTTGTGAGTAGCGATACATACATATACATATACAGATACATATATTTAAATACGAGTTAATATATAAATATTTGTAAAAGCGATTCTTATTTTGTTGGTTTTGTTTTTTGTTGTGTTTACTTATGTCGACTTCATATTGGTTTTTGGTTGGATTTTTTTATGGAAGTTGCGTTTATTGAAGCGTGCTTAAAGGCTTACCGTCCATTTTAGCCTGTTCGGTTAGTTGTGGCGGTGCCGATTGTGGTGGCGGTGGTGGCTTTTCCACCGGTGTTGACGCTTTTATCTCGCTCTGAGGTCGGCTATAGTTTTCGCCTGAAAGACCACACAAATGTTTGCAAATTAAGCAAATTCCTAGACTATTTTCAAAGCAATTGGTTACCCTCTTTGACATTTTGTGTGACGGTAAATGTCTTGCCGGTGTCCAAGGGCACCGTCCAGTTGACTGGATCGGGAGAGCGCATTATAATCTGCTCTGGCGACTTAACCCGTGTGGGCTCCGGCGGCGATTTAACCAAGGGCTCATCGGGCACCTCGGGCACTGGCTGTGGACTGCAGCTAGAAATTGAAATAGCAGTCTCTCGACCATCTTCGGCATCGTCTGTTGGCATTTAAAAATATTTATGGAAAGTTAAAAAAGAAATATATTTGATGAACTCAATTTACATATACTTTAGTTGTGGCGCTTTATTGGTTGGTTTTTATTTTAGGCTGCTGCAGCTGTCGATATTTTTTGTTTTTGTTTTTTCTTTAAGCAAACTTTGTGATCGAGTTATATAGTAGGTTAGTAGTTGAACTTAAAATGTAAATATTTATTTTGAAAAGTAAATGTTTCTGTTTTCTTAAACATAATGTAAAAACTTAATTTTAAATTAAACTTAATTGAACTTATGGAAAATAAAACACGAATTAAGCACTAAGCTTAAAAGGCAACCAAATTTGTTAGTAAAAATTTAATTTAAATAATAAACAAATTTTTGCTTTTGATATATATAACTTCTTTTTATTTTATACAAAGCGCACAATAGGGCAAAGGTAGGACATGCCACATCCAAAAGACATTTAACACAGAAAGGCAGCAATGATTACAATAAAATATTATCAATCAAATAAACTACTTAGAGCACGCATTGAAATAAGGAGCAAAAAAGTTTTAAATTGATAAGAAATATAGTTTTTTTATGTTTCAGTTTTCGGTTTGGTTTGACAAAAGCTTGTGAGTGTGTGAACGGCAACGACAACGCGCAAATTATATCGATAGTCGACATATCGATAGTTGAACAACTCATCTTTACTTAAGTAAAAACTAAGTATATGTTTCTTAAAATCCCATTAAATACCTTTTTGCTAATGATGACTCCCTGGACTATGGGGTCAACCTAAGTTCACTTTATATAGCTTGGAAAACTTGTTTTGGGCAACTTACAAAAACAGATATAAAAATTGCTCTGTTGACAAAAATTACATATAAAATACTCAAAAATTAGTTTAAATAAATGTAAGTTGTGCCAGCACGCAAAACCCGATTATATTACCTCTTTTTATATATTTTTTTTTGGTTTTAAAATGTTTTCACTTCGCAATACACAACCTCTGCATGGCCAACTGTGTAGCATTGTTTATGTTTCGTGTTATATTGTAAAATATATATATATAAAAAAATACGAATTATCTAAAAATACTAGACAGGCTGAATACTTTACTATTAGACACATAACACTGAGTAAAACAACAAATAAATTAAACTAGTGTTTTGAAAAGTAAAGGTAGATTTAAAGTACTACAAATGATATGAGGCATAGATGGAAACGATAGTTGGGCTGACTTAGACACACGGCTGCAAAGACAACAAGTACAAACATTGATTACAACAACAACTAACACTTAAATAACACGCAACGCTTGTTGGTTTTTAGGCAACTTTGCAACAAATACAAGAATTTTTCAAATTTCTTAATACAGCCCTGTGGAATAACGGGACACAAACAGAATACCAGAACTTTGGCCAATCTCTAAAATAAATACCAATTAACTAACACAGGCACACAGTTATAATTCCACATGGCTGATAGAACAGATACAAATAACATATAGGTAAGTGTCGCCCAATTTCAATATGCCAATTCGTAAATCATAATTCTAATTTCATTACTCAACACTAATTTGTTGTACAACACAGTTTTCGACATGGTGTAAAATGCGCAATTGCTTGTAATCAAATTTAGTATTTTTTTTTTGGTTTTTTTTTTTGTTATTTTTTTTGTTTTTGTTTACAAAAGTTGCAACACAAACATTTCGCGCTCAGATGTCATTTTACAGCATTTCCATTTTATATAAGATTTTGTTTTTTTTATGGGTGTATCAAATTTATATTGCAGAGAATTTTTTTGTTTTTGATTTTCAAGTTTTGCGGACAAACTTTACTCACTTTCAGCCAATTTTCTATCCTGACCTGGTACCGTTAGCCGTTTGATGTTGATGGTGACAGGTCGGGCGGGTGCCATTGCTGTTGCTGCTTCTGTTGTTGTTGTTGTTGTTGGCGCGCCAACTTGTTCTGGCTGCTGTTGATGTTGTAACTGTTGTTGTAGCTGTTGCTGTCTCTGTTTGTTTTGCTGATGCTTCGCACTATTTGCACTAATCTCGCTACCAGCACCAACTTGACTAATGCAACTAATATTCGATCTATCTTTGTCTTTCTTACGCATTTGCAGTTGTTGCTGTTGTTGCTGTTGCAGTTGCTGTTTGGCTGCTGGCTTCTTGTTGTTGCTCTTGTTGTAGCTCTTGCATTGTGATATATGTGATTGATTAGCATGATTAGCATGGGCTGTGGCTGCTGTACGGGCTGTTGATGTTGATGTTGTTGCTGCTGCTGCTGCTGCGGTTGCTGCTGTTGGCGCTGCGGCTACTTTACCGTTAGGCGGTGGTAGGGAACTACTTTTAATGCGGGATTGGAATGTTGTGGATAGGGTAGCTATAAAAACGATTTTTTGCGTTTTTTTGTTTTGATTTGGTTTTTACGATTTTGATTTTGGCGTCGGGTTCGGTTTTTAAGTTGTCATATTTTTTTTTGTTTTTAGACCAAAACAAAAGGCACATGAAAAAACAAATTTGAATATGAATTTCTGTTTAAAATGTATTATTTAATTTTTCTTTAACGGCGAATTAAAAAAATGCAACTCAAATAAAGGCAAATAATGGTTGAAGTATTTTAAAATTAAAAAAAATGAATTAAAATACGCGTTATTATAATCTTCTTTGGTTAGTTTATGTTGAGAATTACACAAATGGGTTAGTCTACTTAAAAGAAACTACCATTCATTGTTCTTTGTTAGTTTACAGGAACATAAAGATTAGAATATTGCATTAACCTAAGATAACTTAGTAATTAACTAAAGAAAATATGCCTCCAGTTCCCAAAATTATAATATTGAACCTTATTCGTCTTTAACAATTTGCCAAATTAAATAATCAGCACAATAATGTCAACTCTGTTAATTGCTCACGTTAAGTTTTCTATATATCTTAAGGGGGAGTAAAACTGTAAATACCCTTGCAGAATATGATTCTTTTTATTCATATGTAGAGCAAAAATTTCGTTCGAACTCCGTAAAAGCTTTAGAGGAATTTGGCTAAGCCTTCAAAAAAATAGTTTTATTTGTATTAGAAATTCAAAATTAATTTCCATATGTTTTGATATGCATTAATTCTTTTTATCTAAATGTAATAATTTTATCTAAATCACATATGAACATTTGCTTCTAATATCTGCAAGGGTATTACGATATTGGCTGGCCGAAGAAGACCTCGTTTTTGTAATATGCATAACAAATATAATAAAATTAACATATTGCACACAAATATTATTTCCACAAACATCAAAGCCAACAACATCTTGTTATTATCGCCCACACTTATTGAAAATTGAGAAACAAATAATTTATATATTTACATACACACACATATATATATATATATATATATATATATATATATATATAGTTTCAATATCAATGGGTTAGATTCACAACACGCACAAATCAATGAATTTTTGCCGTTGGTCAACACTGAATATGTTAGTATTTACGGTATTAATGTGATATTATTAAAAGTTAGGTTGTATTTATTTCTGGTATTTAGTTTTGTTAGTATTTTGTTCACTCAACATGCTAAACTATAGAATGTTTATTCGAAAGACCAATCAAACGCTTCATTACAGAACAATAAATAATACTCGGAGTAAAAATCAAAGATAAGTTCTTAAAAATAAAATACGAAAAATGAACCGCAAGACCAGAGACTAAGCTAACAGTGAATTATGAATGTACCTTATTCGTATTATTTTTTGGTTTTGTTTTTTTTTTAGCTATTTTGTTTTGTATTTAGACACTTAACTATGTAAATATCCAGTATGTTTCGAAATGAACGTTACAAACTTGCGGTGTGTGATTAAATACTAAAACTATAGTTAAATTAATTGCAAATGAAACTAATCAACGAAATCTAAACAAATCTAATCTTAACTAATGATTATATATATATATATATATATATATATATATAAATATATATATATATATATATATATATATATATATATATATATATATATATATATATATATATATATATATATATATATATATATATATATATATATATATATTGATATATATATGTGCAAATAAGGAATAAATTAATTTAAAAATAAAATCAACTCAAGAAAAAACAGAAGGCAATGAACGAACGCACGCAAGTAGACTGTGCATCCGCATCGGAGTATTTTTTTTTGTTTTTTTTTATTTATAAGTTTTTGTTGTGGATGGTTCTGCGCAACGTTTGGCTACTTACATGGGCGTGGCTTACGTTCAGTTCCAGCCGATGCAGTCGGTACCTTTTTACGGTTTGTCGGCGCCTGACTCGCCGAGCGTATCTGACGCTTGGGTGACTCATTCTCAACGTGGACCGCGCCTGGACCCACAGATTGGGAGCGTGCTGAGCCACGCAAAACGAAGATGAAGAGATGTGGTTTTTGGTATTGATACGTTTTTGTTTTTGTTTTTTTTTTATGTTTTTTGATTTGTTTCGGTGACAAAAATATGAGTTTTTAATTTGGCATTGAAACAGTTTGCTTAAGTAATGAATGTGAATGTGATATATCGACTACATAATTGGTGAAGAGTTCAGTACAAGACACTACAGAGAATGTTTGATAATCCTAGCTATACAACATTATCACACATATATATTAATTTATATTTCCCAGCACATTGAAAACGCAATTTAAATTTGAATTAATGTAGTTTGCTAATATATACATGATAAATATTATAGTGATAATTATTATACAATAGTATTGGGAAATACATTTATATTTCTAACGACGCACAGTCTATCTTTTCTGAACTTTCTGTAATTTCTATTTTTTTATTTTTAGCTAATATTCTGAAGTTTTTCCTCGTAATCCTCAAAAAATACAGTAACTTTGCTGCTTACTGTATTTTATTCTGTACTATTTCCCAGTTTCAAATGGCAAAACTATTTTTATTTTATTTTTTGATTTTCAGTTTTTCTTAATCTCAAAAAATATTCATATTACCTCAACATTAAAAACTCTTTTTTTCTTGTTGATCAAATGTTTATGTATGTAAATATGTACAGACATTCTATACAAGAAACATATATTTTTATCAAAATAAACATCGCAATAAACAAACTTTAAAAGAAAAACAAAACCTGCTTTAAAAGCAAGCTACATTTAAATTAAATATTGTGCACAAATCCCATCAATCAAAACGTTTGTTTAGTGCACTTCATGAGTAGATTGAAAATTCGTTGGCAAAAAAAAAATCCAACGAGAAATCCTTTGAGTTCAAAGCAAATCAAATACTTTAAGCGTTAAAGCAAACTAGTTGGTAAACAAATAAAATATAACAAAAGAATTTGTTAACTGGCGTATACTTATTATGTGGGCGTGTACGATTGAGACCTGTACCATTTCGTGAATACTTAAAAGTGCTTTGTGTTAACTATGTATTAAATTTGTTTGCTTAGAAGTAAATATTCTATTAAAGTGTATTATGGTGTAGACCTTTTGCTACAGTCGGAGTTATTGCTAGAGTACAACATAATTTAAGCTGGCAACTACTTACTTTTGAGGACCTTCTTGGGGCTGCCCTTTTGAGGGCTGCCCTTCTGCGGCGAGCCGTGACGTGAGAGAGTAGTTTTCTTGGGACTGCCACGTTGAGACTCTGACTCACGTTTGGTCATAGCTGGCATCAGCTTCTCCCGCGTGGGCGAAGGCAGCAAGGCTCCTTCCTCAACATCTGCTAAAATAAATGTGAAATGGAATTAGTGAACCGCAGCTAAAAGGTCAAAGTATATTTCAAAAGGTGGCGAGAATAGTGACATAGAAGTACTTTGAGCATATTTTAAGCATTAGTTAACATACTAAAGATTGTCTTCAAATATAAGGAATATTTTTGAGAGGTGTTCTAAAGTAGTTTCTTAAGTAATACTCATAGCATTTTAAACAATCTCGAAAATATTTAAGTCAATTATTTTCATTAGCTTACCCGGACCCGTAGTGCGCTCCAAGTGATGGCGTATATTGTTAAAACGTGCTGGCAGTGCTGAAATTTCATCCTTATTATCAATCAAATAGGCTTGGCCAGGAACTCGTGGCTTTTGTGGCTGTGTCGGCTTTTGCAATGGCGTTGACTTTTTATTATTCTCCTGATCCTTCTCCTCCTTGGTGATAGGTCTACAAAACTTTGTTAGATACCCATTTCAAATGAAATCTTATTTAAACTTACCTGTGCACAGTGGATGCTAAGGACAGTGCTGATAGTGAGCTGCGTTTGGAAACCTGATCCCAGAGATCGCGTTGCTTCTTATACAGCTCGGGATCGATCTCTATGCCCCAGCCGCGACACTGCACAGTCATAGAATTCTTAGATCAACATTCAAGTAAGTATCTGTCTGTGGTACTCACCTTATATTCGCCGGCCTTCTTACGCAGCTCGACCATATCCTTGAACCACAAATCCAAATTCGCTTTCGAATCCGGCGGTGCACTGCCATTCATGACCACCAACTGGCCCTGTTTGCTGTCCTCTTTGACAGCTGCAGGGGCATCGGCAAAGCCAAAGTTCTCCCTTTTCGTAATGAAGTGATTTAGACGCTCCTGATCAATTGTTTGCGAAAACGGGCGCGTTGCAATCTTGCGCTCCACAAAATTCACTTGTCTGTGTGTGGAAAACACATTGGCAATCAGAAAATATGATAGAAAATAATAATAATATTCAGATGAATGTTAGTGGCAAGTGCGACACGTTTTGCAGCTGGGTTATTTGTTGCTTGGATGGATATATGTGGGTGGGTCTATGATGTCTGGCCTTGGATGTTACATATTTGGTTGATGGCATCACTGGTATGGTACAAGCTCATGAGCATATGAGAGATATTGATACTGATATAGAGAGATTGAAATATGAAATCTTATTAAATTGTTATCATACTTCTCGTGTGTTTTTCTATCATCCGTATCGCTAACCAAAGGCTCCAGCTCATGCAGTTTAGCTGAAAGCACACAGATAAAAGATTTCAACAACTCTGTACCATCTAAAACAAAAGGCAATTCAATTGTTTTTTTTTTTTTTTTGTTTTCGTCATTTACATAGAGATAAAAATAAACATGTACGAGTTTTAATTAGCTTCAAGTGTTAACTAAAGGACATAGGTATTCTTGAAGGAAATCAAAAAATTAAATTTTCGATAAATATTTGCAAAAGTGTGGCTAAAAAATAGAAGGAAAAAAACATTTTAACTGAGATTTGGGTGAGTCTTTGTACAGCAAATCAAATGAGCCGCAAATAGGCGCTGGGTTCGTGGTGGTTCGGTGGGTTGTGAGTGTTTTTTAGTAGTGGTTAGTCGTGATTCTGGCTAAACTAGCACAAAATTCGGAGTTCTCATCAAATAAAAAAAAAATAATACTAAAATTTTTAGCATTTTGTTTAAACAAACATAAGAAAATTAAATGTTGTACAATTTGCTGGCATGTTTCGAAGCGTGTTTGCTTTGTATGGGGGCCTGGGGGTCACTTTTTGGAATATAGAACGAAATTCGAACCAATTTTGTTTAATATACATACAAAAATATAAACATTTCGAGTTTAATGCAGCGCAGTGTATATATATTATGTTTAAATATTTTATAATTTATATTTATAAAAACTTTTTTTTTGTTTTTTAAGCACTACGGCCAATCGATTTTCAGGCTGCACTAAAAAGCTCTTCAAGCTCATGGTATAAAGGCAAGACTTAAAAGCTTTGCAATGGAAGCCACTTGATCATTATTGCAAATGATATACATATATATATATATATGTAAGTTTATATATATTTATAAGGTGTCTATATATTATGTAAAATTGTTGTATTGTTGTTATGAGTATACGATTCGATTTTGGCTTACGTTTTTGCATTGTCTTACCTAGCCGCTTGGCTTTTACTGTAAATTTTTGTTATGTAAAATGTGTTTGTATTTTCTTTTGATTAAAATTGAAATTTTGATATACATAGATGAAATAAAAATAAAATATATATAAGTCTTTTAATATAATTCAATATATTTATATTAAAACTCTGTCTATATTCAATTTTTTATTTCTATTTTTGCTTTTCTATTTGCATGAACAGCACAGGAGAACATTTAAAATTTAAAACAAAAATTGATTAAACTAAAATAAAAAAATATATTAAAAACTGTTAAAATCTTCGCCCAGAAACACCTGCTAGGCCTTTCATCCTTTAAGCTAGCTGCTAAACTCGTATTACACCTCTTGAAATGTACGATTAATGTTGATATGCTGATATAATGAATTTGATGAATAATGCATAATGCTAATTCCATTTTGTCGTTTCTCGCATGCAACTCAACTGAAGCCAACAGAACTCCTACGCTTTATAGAAACTAAAAATTAAATGAATAAATAAAAAGTATATAAAACACACAACCTGCGACAGCATGCTCCGACTATACTTAGCTATCATTATCGTAAAATTGCATTGATACGTGCGGCACATGTACGGTCCCGTTTTTTATAGTGTATTTTTAGTAAGCCAACGCAATTCGGGTTTTATTTTCACAAAATTAAGTATCGATCAATGGAATTTTACGGCTTTGCATCAACAGAAATGAATATGTCAGGTATTTTACCATGTAGTTGATGTGTTTTATTTTGTATTTATTTTTTTTTTATTTAGAACTTATAAAAATGAATTTAGTTCAACACTTACGTCAGCTTTACTTTTGTTTTTTTTTTTTTTTTTTGCTATAAAGATATTCTTGTGTGAGTGTTTGTTTATTTTTATTTTGGAAAGGAATTTAGCATAATTTCGTTCTATATAAAAATAGATTTTGAGACTTCCAAAGAGAGAGAGAAAGAGTAAACATTGCTAACTGCTTGAAAACATATAATTAGTAATCTTAAAAGCGTTAAACAAAATTTTGCCTTAAAAATGTTAAAAAAAGATTCATGTGTACCTAAAAACAATTTGAGACTAAAATTAATAAAATATTTGTATTTAATAAAAGGTTAATTCAAGGGTGACTTAAGCTTAAGAGTATGAATTATGTATATGTATATATATATATACATATATATATTTATACATATATACGATATACAACTAGTAATTGTTTTTTTTTTTTGTTTGGATGAAAAGCAAAAATGTTCGACGACGTATACATAAAAAACTTGAAAATCGTTTGAAATTTGTTATCAAAATTGTTTGCAAATTTTTAGCATTTTTCTTTTTTTATTTTTGGCAGTGTTGCAAAGATTAATGTTTGAGCTACATGTAATTTACCAACACTAGTCAACGCATCAAAATATTAGACATGAAATAATTGTAAATAGTTTTTTTGTTGTCAATTTGAGGGCATTTGAGAAAAGGTTTATATTTCGTTTTGATCTTTAAAAATAAAGAAATGAATAGACATATATGTAGAACTCTTTAAATACTGCGCGCTCAGTAATTACATTTTAGTAAAAGTTAGTTGAAATTTAGTTTGATATCAATAATCTTTAGTTGTTGAAAATTAGTAATAATCAAATCAAATGGAAAAATTCTGTTTTAGTACGCTCGATTGGTTAATTTGTTGTTGTTTTTAGTAAGTAGATACATATACGAGATATTGAAAGAAACTATGCGCTAATAGGATATATATATAAATATGTATTTTGTAGTATAAGTATGTAAATGCTTAGCGACGACATATTGCTGTCGCACCTTCTTTCTGATTTGTTGTACGTTTTTTATGCACCGTTGGCATGCCGTTGGCACCTATCGTTTGATATTGATGTGTGTGTTGTGGCTGTTGACCCGATCGGATCGCCCCCAATGATATAGACTTTCTTGGATAATCGCCGGCCGCGGCTCGGGCCGCCGTCGTCGAATCTTTGCCCTTAATGCGTCGGTCATTGGGCCAAACGAATTGCAGGCGATACTCAGTGCTCAATTTTGTGATGGTCTTTTTCAATAGGCCATTTGACTCACCCGCCTGCGAAAGAGAAGAGCAGAATCACAAGAGACGAGAAGACCAAACAAACAAATGAGGAAGACAAACGAGAGGGAGAAAGAGAAAGAAAGAGAGAGAGAAAGCAATTGCATTGACGCATTGAGTGTTCAATTCAATTAAATTATTAGCATTAGCATTAGTATTAGTATTAGAATTAGTATTAGTATTAATCGGTTTCGTTTTATTTTAATCAAAGAACGATCACAGCACAGTTAACATTGGGAAAAATACATAGAAGAGAGCGTGTTAGTTGGAACAAGAGAGAAGAGAGGAAGAGAAAGAGAAAAATACACAAAGTACAAGTATAATTTGTAAATTTTGATATTAAGTACTAATTGTTTTGAACTTCAATAATTAGACTTAAGCTAAAAATAATGTATATGATATTTGCTAAATATGCAAATATATCATTTAAACAATATAAAAAATTATTTGGCTTTTTCACTAATATATAAAAATAAATGTAAATTAAAACTTTGAATATTCAAAAATATTTAAGAATATTATTTTAATTTGCATTAGCATTAATTATCTTAAATAATCTTGAAATAACTCAAAACAACCCTTAAAATTTAGTTTTTCAACACCCCAAATATTTAAATAAATAAAATAATAATAATAATAATAATAATAAGCAAAATTCTTGGAAAATTCATGACAATTGTGAATCGAGATAAAACAGTAAACAAAATATTTTATGTGCTCATAAGGATATGCAGTAAGACCTCCATGCACAACAAATCAGAGAACTACGAAACCTTTATCAAGGATATATGGAAGTAGTTATATAGCGGAAAACAGAAATCGATAAACAGCAGTAAAGGCAACTTATGCAAATGTTGAAGAGTTTTGCAGATTAAAAATTTATATTCAGGTCGAGTATATGGGTGTCTGTCTTTCTGTCTGGTTGACTAACTGGCGCTCTGGCAGCCAACTCAATGGCACACACACACAAAGATTTGTTACTACATAAATTTCCTATAGCTGCAATGGCGAGACAGAAACAAGTTACAAATGTAACGACATGTGTTACATACATACACACACACACTCATAGAACTTGCACATAATAGAGAATATGTGAAGGCTCAGTAGGAAATAGGCAAGAGGTGGCTGAGTAAATCACGATAGACAGCGACAGTGAAAAAATACTAATAGAAATTGTTGCGCGTCGCTTGGCGCTCAATTCCAATGGCTGGTCCATTGGACCAGTGAATCGCACCCTATCTCAGATCGGTATTGGCGACAGTTCCTTTTCATGCACATCTATTTTCTTTCTATTCTATCTTGTGGCGCCATAACATGGCATAAAATCATGCTGGTTAGCAATTTTGTCGGCTGACAACTATGCGGACGTGTCGCAATTGAGATAGGGCGTTGCCACTGCAGCTTATCGCAGCTCATATATGTATATAACTTACACATATGGATGTGTGTATAGAAATACTCATAAACCAAAGAGAAAATATGCATAAGAATACTTAAAGAAGAGTACTTTAGTAAAGATAGTAGCTGAAAGGAATTTAAGAGTGAAAGAGAGAACTTAAAAATGATTATAGCAGTAAGATTTCTTTGATTTCCAATGATAATAGATGGAATAAAATGGTTTTATCTTGAGTAAACAATATTTTTATTAAACCATTTTTGCAAAAATCTAGCTGAATTACGAATTATCCGTCAATCTATTCTATAATATTTTCATATGGTTTTAATTTTTCTAACAGCCTTAAAGCTTTTCTGATACTTTAATATGCTTCCAGACATCATAGTTAAATTTACTATTTTAAATAGATGGAAAAATCTGTTTGAATCTGATGCGAGTTTTCTTGAACTCACGTAGTTTGCACTTGAGATTTTGATAAGATTTCATTTATATAACTAAAAAAAATAAGTTAATTTTTGTAACTTTCTCTACCTTGCAATCAACCAGAAAACTTTTATGTCTTGAAATATTCAAAGCTTTTTTAAATTACAAATAATATTTGCTTCATAATCGTGGCTATTCCCAGCTGTAGTCATTGGAATCAAAACCCTGAATGGCAGGAAACATGCACATAACACAAGTCAAAAACAGGCACACATATGAATAGTTAGAAATACTGATATGTATATACACGTATATAAGGTATAAAATATTGATGGGGCATTAGCTAAAGCATCTAACTGACAATTGTGTACCTGTTTAGTTGTAGCTCCATCGATCTCCGTTGCAATGGGATAGGCGCGGCCATTGGGCACAACTGGTGGACCTTCCGATTTGCTGCGGCGCGAAGGTGTGCCACGCTCCTCCGACTGCAAATATATGTAGAGAGAAGCAGGCAGGAAAAGAGAAAGACAGAGAGACACACACAAGTTAATTAGTAGCTCATTAATATTACGCATACGACATGCTGACGCACATGATCAGGTAGCGCAACAGAAGCAAAGCCTGGCGCCCAAGTAAAACTTAATTAATAATGTATTGTCAGGGTGTGTAATAAAAACACACACGTACATACATAATCAAATAAATATATATGTATATAGAGCTGCCCTTGTGTGCAACATGTGCGCATTTTTAATTAGCATTGGCAGAGCGACCAACCGCACAACCACCAAGCCACATTCGGGCCTTTTTATGTGGCATTAGAAACCACTGAGTATGGCTTTTGGCCACATACACATTCATACACATACAAATGCATATATATGCACGTATTTCTGCATAAACGAATTAACCCCAATGTCAAACTAAGCAAAAAGTCAACCTGCGCGTATATAGTATTTTTAAATAGACCCTTTATCAAATGCGCATTATGCATTAACAAAAAGAAAACTGGTGTGTGTCCACTAGGCATAACTGAGTATGAGATACCCTACAATTTAGAAACCAGATATAAACAAAGATAGATTTGTTCATGAAATGCTTTAAATAACTGAAGCGATAATCGATATTTATTATTATTATTGAGTATGCAAAAACGGAGTGTGTTATCGATTAATCAAATAGAAGAATAATAGAGCCAACTGTATCTTTAAGTGGAATAAATTTGGCATTAGACTCTGCTAACTTTATCTAATAATCAGTTTTAATCGATTATGTAAGATTAATCTTTAATATTCCAATGGGAGCACTTATAGACCAAAGCTACATTAAAATTAGTGTTAGAAACTCTAACGAAAATTTAGGAAAGTTTACTTAATAGGGAAATAGTAGGTCCCAGTGCTGAGTTCATTTAAGTCACATTGATTCGACTTTGCCGCCTTGTCAATATATACTCTATGAATATGCAGCTTCCCAGTTACATGCATCTGCATAAGCCATTATACCCCCAATCAGTTGTAGAATAAAAACGCTTCAAACTTTTATATTTTCCTCACTTTTCTTTCTCAGTGCGGGCACCACTTTAAGTTTCAACAGCGCATGAATTTTTACGATGGCAGCTTCTGAATTTTCCGAGAGCCCACAAATGTGCGCATAACCACTTAGACTTTATTTTGTTTTATACTTTTTATTCAGGCATTTCTCAACAGCTCATATATGAGCACTACATATGCGTAAAGAACGTGACTGCATTGCTAAGATAACAACATGCCTTTAATATTTCTATTTAGCTATGCATCTCAAAGATTCCTTTTGTAGAAAAATCATTTTTACTCCTGATTGTTATAATAGAAGTATTTCTATTTATGCTTACTAATTTCATTAAATTTTGATGAAATATAAATTTTGATTAAAGTACCTGCGCGGAAGAGTCCTAAAGTAAAATTTATTGAGTTAACATCTGACCCAGGCAACTGCTCGCAATGCTTGTACTCGCATCTCTCAAGGTCACATCAAAGGTGAATTGTACACATTGTTATATATATATATGTATTTACATAGGTACTTACCCTCGCTGAACGGTGCGCACTGGCATCTCGACGTGCATCTGTATATTCGGATCCTATAATAAACTCGTGCGATTTATATGCTAATTCAGGGCATTTTTTCCGACGTGGCAATGGCGGCTCATTTGTTGGACCTGTGAGGGGAGAGGCACGCACAATGACAAATGGTGAGAATAGATAATATATTGGAATCAATAAGTTCCCATGACAAAGCTAGATCCAAACTGGCCGTTAGGCTGAATGGATAAGGATTTGTTTGATACGCACCAACAAATTGACTTGGATTTGGAGCTGGCGCCCGGCGCACAACCTCCGGCCTCGAATTGCCCGTAAATTCATGCCAACGATAAGTGCTCCTATACTCAGAATGGAGCTGCTGGTAAATAAGAGAAGAAGAACATGCAATAAATAAGTGCATGGCTCGCAACAGAGTCATTAATATAAGAGTCATATAAGATAAGATATTATTATAAGCATATAAATAACTGAATGAAAACATGCCTCGGGTCCTAAATTAAAATTATTCTTCTTGTGATATAAAAATATGTATGTGATAAGACAAAGATATATGTACATACACACATATATTATAATTAAATTTTGATGCTGATTAAATTTTCTTATATATATATATTGGCTAAGAGAATTTCATGCTCTTCAAATCGAGCACGAAATCCTTTCAGCCTCATTTGCATTCTGATGGTCGCACAGGAGACATTTTAAATTTTATTTATTTACTCTGACTATTGAAATAACATGATTTTTCCCATTGCTGTATACTAAATAAAACAATTAAGCATGCACAACTCCCGCAAACAAATAAGTCAAATAAAAAAATGTATCTGTGGACACACTGCAACAATGAAACAATTAAATAAAATTCATGTGTGAATATATATATGTTATATATACATATATAGCCAAGTATCGCATTTGGTCAGCTTGGCTGGTTCGGGCGCTTGGCCAAAATGTGGTTGTCGCATTTGCAATGCAGCAATAGTAATCGTTAGGACATGTCCTTCTTCAGCTGCTGCTGCAAGTATTTGATAATTGCAACTAGAAGAGGAAGACAACTAGAGAAGAAAAACATGCTAGCAAAAAATCCATACCTCTAGTCAAGTCTAGAGCTTTATGGCTATGACAAAGGCAAAAGGCGTTCGTAGGTTTCGTATCGATTGAAGCGCAGCAATTGCAGCAAGGACTAAGGACATTTTCGAGTATATACTAGCTGCAAATTGTGTTAAGCGCGACACAAGTTGCAAATGGCAGACAGAAAAACACACAGACAGAGGGACAGATAACCAGACAGTCAGTCGGTTAGTTGGACAGTTTGTGGAGTTAATTATAGCGTCAATTTACTTTTCGTTTTGTTTTTGTTTTTCGTACTAACTTGGCCAAGACTCCTTGCTGGCTATCTGTGTTGGCAGTTGCTTATGGAATGCGCATTGCCTCTTGACGTTCCATTTCGGTGGCACAGTACAAATAATTACCACTCGGCACGCAAAGCCAAAGACATCTGCGAAGCATTATTCATGCAGGACCAAGCCAGGGACCTTCCATTGTTTAATTTTAATTTTTAAGTAGGTCTCGGCGCTTAACAGCTTATCTTGGCAATACAAATGATTGCACAAAAAGCCACTCAATCAATTTGCCAAACGGCTTTAAAATTAACTTAGTCTTTATGTGCATTAGCTATTCCATTTAAAAGGGATAATTGCTTATTGCTTTAAAGCAAAATACATTTTAATTATTAAACGAATATTTTAAAGAATACAAATTTTTACAAATATGTTAATATATTGACTTAGTTTGCATTCAAATTTTAGAAATAAGTAATTAAGAAAAGGTAACTTCAAAATACTCTGCTCTGTTCTATATATATGTACCAAGTCAAGTTTTGCATTATTTATAATAAATAACATTCAATGCGATTATTTTTTGTATTCATCGCTTAGTCTGCTATAGAAAATAACTAACTCTAAACTGTTTACAAGGTATTTTGTTATCGAGAGCACACCTTACTGCATATCTTACATCTTACTGCTTCTACTTCTCTTCTCTTATTAACAAGCGTTATCTCTTTTACTGATTTTTATTGCTCTCAATCATGTGTACGTCCGCACCTATAAAATTGAAAGTCAATACGGATTCTAAATGAAGTTTGAAGCGTCCTTTAATCAACACGAAACGCCCACCAATTAACTTAATTGGCAGCAAAAATCTCGTCTAGACGGGCACTTGACATATATTCAAGTCTGGCAGCCCAACGAACTACCATTAAAAAGTTCATTTAAAATCAATTCGTCTGACAATAAATAACTTTAACAAACCATTTTCCAGGCATTTGCTAGACAACCTCGTGGGAGTTGTTCGGGTATCGGTTAGAAGCCCGCGCCGTAGTAAAGTATTATTGTAAGACCGCAACTCATGTATAATTAAGGGGATGAACACTTTAATCGATTAATTGAAGGTGTCTGGGTGTATGCGACCTGCCCTTAAGCTATCTTTGTCAATTGAATTGGCAGCGGGTGTGTTGCAGCGCATTGGCTCAAGTGCCTGTTGGCACGTGGCAGCAACAGCTGCCCCTACTTACTGCACACACTTTTTATGCAGCCATTTATCATGTCAAGGATGAGGAAAACCTGCGGCAGGCAGCGCATAAATTTTCCAGCTGATTTATGTGCGTTGTCCCAAATTGATTGCAACCTCAAAATGCAAAACGTGTTTTTCTTTTTTATTTCATAAATATTTGAAAACATTTTATTTTTGCGGTTCGCCAAAAGCTTATTTAAAATGTAGTTTGTGTGAGGTTTTCACTGTTTTTTTTTTAGCCGCGGTGTAAATTTGTTTTTCTCAATTGTGGCTCAACGCAATTTATTTTCTATATAACTCATATCCCAGCTGCTCCACAGAGGTTGCCCAAAGAGACCAGGATACATTGAATTCAATTGAATAATAAACTTTTTACTTCCATGGGCAACTTTGTTTCAATCATTACAATCCTGATAAGCCTGCTGACTGACAACTTTAACAAGGCACCTTTATAGCTCGATTTCATTGATTGAAGTTTTTAATTAATTTCATTAAAATTTCACTCAATGGAAGTTGACACTGATTGAGCAGGCTTTATATTTGCATATGCGATTATTCATTCAGATAGTTAATTAAGTTTTGACTGCAATTGTACAAGACTTTTATGTACATAAATGTTATAAGATATAACTGTTACAAAAAGTTTATTATTAAAATTAATACCACAGATAAAAATCTCGCTAGATGAAAAAAATCATGTCGCTTTCAATTCTTTATAAAAAATTAAATCCTAAAATGATATGCTTCATCTGTATGAGGCCATACATTTTTAGACTATTCATGAAAAAACATAAAACTATAAACTAAATACTCAATGCAATTGCAAGTAAAGATAGAAATAATAGAAGATAGAATAATAGAATATAGTTCAAATCATAAGAAAAAAATGAAAATTATTTTGGATATCAATTAACGTGTAATAAGGATTCCTGTTATGTAAAAGCCACGACTGGCACAATCTGTAACATTAAATTTCAAAACCGTCCCAATCGTGCCCACAATCGTTTTTGAAGACATATGGACCAATGACTCCGCCAGCCCGTAAAGCGCACCAAATAGTAATTTTCTGTGGATGCAGTGCTGTTTCAACAATTCAGCTTGTTTACCTACCCATTGCACTAAGAATCATTGCGCACGCCATAAAACAGGCGAAGTACACGATAAGTGTGACGAACAGAACCATTATTTAGATCGAAATTGCAACAATTTGCGAGCATTGCTCTGGTGTTAGTTTATCCATAATGATATGTCAAGCCAAACTCAACAATAAGCGACTATCAGCTTTTAAAATGGTTGTCAAATCAAGCAAGGTTGTAAACTCAAAGTTGTGAGTCGCTCTAAAAAACACCCTTTAAATATGAAATCAAAGGGTATTTACTAGTTGAAGATACCCAGCTCTAACAGTTACATGCCCTACACAACATTTCGCTCAAAATCATTGCAATTTGTTATTGACCATATAACATTTTAATAGCCAACACTTTTGGCAGGACAATATTTCATGGCTCTCTAAAATGCCCAATTTACGAGAAATAAAAATACATGAAGCACACAATTTATAGATGTAAGTACATATATTTATAGATGTAAGTATATATATAGCTATGCTATGGTAAGAATCTAGTGCAATAATTTTTATAGCATACTTGCAGGCGTCAGCTTACACTGCGCCATAATCCCCGGACAACAATTGCACTAAGCTACACGTGTTAGATAACTAAAACCGCAAACTATGTATACACACACACATACAAACTGTGTATATATAGACAATATTGTGTGCGTGTTTAATCTACCCAAAGGGACCTTTAGGTTTTATGCGAACGCAGGGCACCTCGCCGTTATCGTCTGGCAGACTGCCTGAGCTCCTTTGAATTGCGTGAAGTGCAAGGAAAATGAAGCACAAACAGGCGCATAAAATTTCATTGTGCAAAAGGGGTTTCTTTTGTCTTTTGTCCTGGATTGCACTGTAAGTTGGTGAGTTATCATAAGACCGTATAAGTACGGTAGGTATATGCCGTGATTAAAACCGAGCACTTGTGCGTAAGTTCTTAAAGTGAACAAAAGAACTTTTTACAAATTGTAGAGGAATAAAATATTTGTTTTATGCAAAAGAAAATTTTGCTACGTCCACCAAAGAAAAGCAATAATTTTAAACAATTATAAATACAGAACAATTAAAAAATATTTTTTTTTTCTTTAATAATTAATCAATTTTTATTTATAAAATAAATATTTTGCTAAATTTTAATTGTTATTCTATAAAACATTTGTTATTTAATTGGTAGAGGAAATTAATTTCAAACCATTTTTAAATCAATATAAATTATAAAATTATTATTTTATATGTAAATAAAATAAATAGAATTTAATTGTTCATGAATTTAATTTCATTTCTAATTTGTAAAATATAAAATATGATTATTTCACCTTTGTTCTGAGAACTGATCAGGCAACCCACTTGTTCCTTTTTCCATTTGTATTTTCAATTTTTTCCATTTTTCTTTTATTTTACGTTGCATTTTGTCATTTGACACCATTTTGTCTGGTACAGACGACGAAACGGCAGGTGACAGAGAATATTTGCTTTTATGGTTTCCACTGGCACAGACCAAAAACCAAACCATACCAAACACAAACATCTGGCGAACGCTCCAACCCCCCAACGTCTATCCCTCTTCATGGGGGCTGCCATGCTGTCTGCCATGTTGCATGCAGTATGCGTGCCTCTGGGCCGCTGCTGCGGTTCAGTTTGCTCAATTGCTCAACTAACCGCGCAATACAATCAGACTACGTGTGTGTGAGTGTGTGTGTGTGTTTGTGGCCTGCACCAGCAATTAATTCTCTCAACATGACCCCAGACTTGTCGGAACGCAAGTTTTGTTTTTTTTCTCTCGTCAGTGCAATTCATTTGCCTAAATTTAAGTGCTCGGTGCTAAGATGACTGCAACGCGCCACACCCCCTCAGCTCTGCCAGAGACAGGATTGACTTGTAACTGGGCTGCCCTCCTTGCACATCCAAAGCAGCGCTAATAAATTTCCCAGCTGTTGTTCATGAGTCGTCCCTTAATGAGGTTGCTAGAGAATTCGCAACAGCGCCGATGCACATTAGCAGCAAGGCGAATTGCCGGGTCGGTCAGTGGGGCCGACTTCATTTAATTAAATAATGCTTCTCATTTGCATTAATACACTTTAATGGGTATTATAACTATGTCATCTGATACGCTCTCCCCATTTGGTTACTTATTTCATTTTTATTCTATTATAATAATGGAAATATAAAAATTAAGACTAGAATTTTCATAGAAATAAGAATTAAAATAATAATGCTAGAATAGTAGGCTTCAAAACCTAGAATAAATTTTAGTATATACAATTTAGATGTCATTCATTTTACTAATAAGCATTAATACTAGCCAAAGAGGCCTTACAGAATACCGAGTTTACTAAAACGAAGTCCTTTTATATATTCGTATTATATCTGACAAAACTAAAAATTAATTTTTATATTGTCATTCATTATTGGCCAGAAAGAGTATACAATTTGCGTTGTCACAGCTCATTTTTCTCTAATAAACAGATATTGTCTGTGTTCATAAATATGGATTAAATGGCAAAAAGCAGGAGGCAAACAGCAGCCAAGCTACAATTTCAGTGAACCTCAAATTAGGTGCAATCAAATTGCTATTGTTGTGGTATTTAATTACGCCCTATGAAACTCACTGAAATTACGTGTCATTTTCATAGGAATAATGTAAATGAATAAATAAATTGACAGATAATTCTGCATATACTTTAAACGTAGATAAGCATTCGCACCCACGAGTAAAAATTTCTAATCTCTATAAAAAAGGGATTAATATTCTGTATTTATATAAATAGATTTCCAATTTTATTAAAACAACTTTTGCAAATCGAATTTACAAACAGACAGTTGCCATCTTTCTGAAAAAAAGAAAGGAAACGTTATTGACAGGTAAATTGCGCTACTTTTAGTAGGAAAAATGTCAATAGACACAAAGAGGGCACACAGACCGTGTCATCAAGTCGAAACTCATTTGTATGTGACCGCAAATCGAGGGACATTAAACTTTTAAGACGCTTTTATTGCACATGAGCTCAACTTCCCTAACTCCCGGACTCTCGACTTCACTCAAGCTGTCAGCCAACGTCCTGGTCTATTCAATTTGTATCCTTTTTGGCTTACGGCTTTGCTTGGCTTTGATTTGATGGCTTTGCGTTGACATTGCCGCTGACGGCTGATTTATTGAAAAGACCCAATGGCAAAGCTATGTCTACAGCTGCGAGCAACGTGGCGTATGCATAATATCCTTTGCATTTTCCGAGTTCATTCACCAACAACAACAACGCCATGACTGTATCCTTTTGCTCAGTGATCCCAGCACGTTTTGTTTTAACACCCGGCCACGAACATTTCTACAGCACTTCAGGCTCTGCGTCAGCAAAGTGCATTCAGATGGGCTTTTCTTATGCAAAATTCAAATACACGTAAATAATTTTCCTTCGCTAGTTACAATTTGTCACTTGGTATATCTTTTTTTCTAGCTTTTACACATGTTTTGCAAGCTTTCAGCAGTTGATGCATGTAAATGTGACGGCTCAATAGATTGTGTGCAAGGCAAATTATTCGTCTTTCAAAGAAAACAATAATTTTTTTATCCATACTAAATCAAGAAGTGGTAAACATGGTTTAAGAGAGATAAGAAGTTTCAGTATTTCAAGGTTTTGTTATACTTGCCAAATGTTTTTTAAAGTTACACAATTTAAAATAAAAAGAAAACAAAAAAAAATTTTTTAATATCAGTAAAAGGCACTTTATTGGATACTTAATTTTATGGCATTATTACGAATGATTAAGAATATTGTTGCCACCAATTTTTAGAATCATCATAATCATGGCTATCATCCTTTTGAATGACATATAAACCTCTGACTCCTCCAACCTATAAGATGAATCAAATTGTAATATTATGTTGATGTAAGCTTGTGGATTACACTCTATCAAAATGCGAAAATTCTGCTTATTTAGCTACCCATTCAACCAAAAATAAACTTCATCCTTATGTATAAAGTAGACGAAGTTTGACTCAAAGAATCATTATTTTGATCAAAATTTCAACAATTTGTTAGCGTTGCTTTGATGCAAGTTTATACATAATGAAATGTCAAGACAAACTCAACAAAAAGCAACTTTTACTTATTAAATGAGTTGTCAAATAAAGCGGTTTTTCCATCAGAAAGCTATGTGCTTCTACAAAGAACAACTTTTATCAACTTCCTAACTTTTGTAGCTACAGATACCTATGCGTTCACACAGTCTTACTCTGCTGATTAAAGATGCTGATTAAATGCAATATATAAAAGCTTAAGTTAAATTTTGCCCTTTTTCTTAATGTAATTTTCAACTTGTATTTAGCATGTCCTCAAAGTTTTATTACGTTTTATTTATTCTCCAGGCCAGGCGAAACAAATAATTTACAAATTAAAAACCACTTAAGTTATTAAGTTTGTATGTGGCGAAAGTTTCAGCTCAATAGTTTTAGACATAATGCCACGACAGAAGACGACACCAAAACTTTTCTACACACACACAATGAGAAAGTATGCAACACTTCCGCTGCAAAATTCCAGACAGCCCGGAAAACTTGTGCATAGACAGCAGTTACAAGCCATAAAACATTCTTTGTGCATATTTTAACGCAAAATGTAACTTGAATTATGCTACAACAGCAACAAAAGTAAACAAACAGCTGCACTTAATTGCATTTGCCTGTCCTTTCCCTTCTCATTTACTATCACTCAATTTCACTTGCTCTGGTACTCCCTCTTCAGATGAAAATCTGTCAAAATCATTGCCAGCAACTACATTAAACTGAATATGTCTGAATAAGAGTATATGTTTGTATATATGGATATATGACTTGAAGCATGAGTTGTTGATACATTATTCGAGTACTTGAATGTTATTGAAATCTCAACAATTATCATGAAACTCGATGCTTTTATACTGTGACCTTCAAAAACATTTTGCGCCGAGTGCAGCCAACACATTTTATTTCCATCTATTTACTGCTCGAGTGCATTTGCTGTGTGTGTGTTAGTCAGATTGTGTGTGTGAGTAAGTGTGTTTAAGTGAATGAGTGAGTCTTTGTCTGTTGGGATTGGTGCATTCATGTGGATAACGACTTTGATGACAACAATGCGATCGATAGCACGCTCTGTGCTCTTTTAAGTCATGTTTTTTTTTTGGATTTAAGATAATAGTTAAATATAATGCATGGTCACCCTTAAAAATATTCTATATGGTTAGTGAAATGAAAAGAAACACTCAAGCAACATTTCCTAAGTAAACATCATTAAACGGCAATCCTAATAATCAGATTCCGTTTTATAATGTAAATATATAATTTTTGTTATATATGGTAACTCATACAAATATATTCCTTGTATGCCAAGCAAAGTATGCTGCTCGGAACCTTAGATTCCATTTTCACACATGTTCATAAAAATGCAGAAAATTTTTTGATATTTAAAAAGATTATAATTCGGAAAAATGATCATCTTCATCTTATTCGGTCTAACAGTCTTCATGGTAATAAGAAAGCACACAATTCTGTTCGAGAATCCAATAAAAACAGTTAAAAATAATTCTTTTTAAATTTTGATAAGCTAACCAAAGCTAGATACATTTTTTTTATTTCCTTTTTCAGTTCAAGTTTCTATATTTAGATCAGTTAACATTGGTCGAACCTGTCAATAGGGTTGCAAGCAAACATTTTATAAAATTTTTGATAAACTGTTTTTTTATAAATTTTGTAATTTTACAAGTTTTCCTTGGGTTTCTTTTGTACATTAATTAGCTCGCACCACTTTTCTCAAGAAATGGCTCAAGGTGATAGGATACCAACATTCAAGTTGGTGCTTGTGGGCGATGGAGGCACCGGAAAATCAACATTCGTAAAACGCCATTTGACCGGAGAGTTTGAGAAGCGATACCTGACCACAATGGGTGTAGAAGTACATCCATTGAAGTTTCATACGAGTCGCGGACCGATGTGCTTTAATGTGTGGGATACAGCTGGACAGGAGAAATTTGGTGGACTGCGCGAAGGCTACTATATTCAGGCCCAATGCGCCCTCATCTTTTTCGATGTAACCTCGCGCACCACCTACAAAAATGTGCCCAACTGGCATCGAGACTTGATTCGCATCTGTGGGCAGATACCAATTGTTCTGTGTGGCAACAAGATCGACATAAAGGAATGCAAGGTTAAGCCCAAAAATATCGATTTTCGTAGCAAAAGTAATATGCAGGTGAGAAATATGCTACGGGTAAAGATATCGTCTATCTATCTGTTTATTTGCAAACAGTTTTTTTAGTATCGATAGATATATCCCAGAGACAACAAGCTATAACAGTTGTAGTATATGTTTGCCAATCCCATTAGCTGTGGTTCTTATCCAGTATATGAAAAAGCAATCTTTTCTTTGTTAAATTTTCTTTTTCAGTATTTCCCAATATCTGCCAAATCGAATCTGAATTTTGAGAAACCCTTCCGCTGGCTGGCACGCGTTCTAGTTGGTGATCCGCATCTAGAGCTCATCGAGATGCCGGCCCTCCAGCCACCAGATGTTCACATATCCAAGAGCTGCCAGCTTCAAATGGAGTTGGAGCTGGAACAGGCTAGTAATTTGCCTTACGAAGACGATGATGACTTATAAAGCCAGAGCGAATAAATTCTGTGTTGTTAACAAATTATGTTTTCTGTATCGAAAATTCGAGTAAACATCTTAAGGCAGTATCCGAATTTCGCCTTTTCTGTTTCTGCGTCAATTTGGGAGCTAATATTACGCATACGTCTCGCTGGCGGCCAATTAACTGGCTTATATAACGGCGACTGACGTAAGCGTGCAAAATGAGAGCGAGACAAACATTCGCAAATGGCGTCATTTCAGCCATCTTTCTCTCGGAATTTTCTCTGCCAGCATCCTCGACTTGAGTTAAGCCTTTGTTTTTGGCTTTTTATGCCAATTTCATATTTATTTTTTTTTTCTTCCATCGACCAAATCATAAATAAAATATGTGGATGAAGAAGTTTCCATTTTTTGTTCCTTTGTTGTCTTTGACAAACGATTCATGTGGCTTGCTTGAGCAAATCGCAGAAAAAATTCGCATGTGCTTGGTCATAATACCATTAACTTATTTGATTAATGGCTAAATTGTAATCCCAGCTGTGACAACAGCAAACTTGAATAAGACATAAAACAAATGCAAGCTAAGATCCTACAAAAATCTTTTATGTAATATTTTTAATATATAAATAAATAATCATTAGTAAGCAGCAAATCTTTAACTCATTAATTATGTTTAATAATATTTTTATTAAGGATATTATAATTGGTATTTAAATATATATGCTAAGAGTTCTTCAGAGAACAGCTTTTACCTCAATAACTCTCGTTTTATGGCCTTTGCATGAGTTTGTGAATTTATTCTTTTTTCTTTTTTTATTTCGTGGGTGGGGCAACAACTCAAGCACTGCAAGTGCAAAAATATATTCAAATTGATTTTCAAGTTTTCCTTTACGCATTTCTTAGGTGGTGTTTGCATTCAAGCAGGAAATGCGCAATCGGAAGAGTTTATTTAACGCCGATTTACTTGAAATTTATTCCACAAAAAATAAATGTAGCTGCTGAATATGTAAAGTGAAGCTGTTCTTAAGATATACAGTGCACACTCGTTAAGAGCGCATCAACGAAGAAATCAGAAGTGGACTAAGGACAATCAGTACTGTTCGATGAGACTAGCGGCCAAATAGAACCCAGCCTACTCCATGAGATTAACATTGCCAAAACTCAATTTGTCTACTCTAACCATATATATATAGCCAATATATGACCTAAGCCAACTTATTATCACCAAACTTCAGCTTTTCCATTCTGACCTAACCTTATCCAACTCTATCCCACCTAACCTTAGCTAACCCAACTCATCTTTACCAAACTTCAATACCCTTAACCCAACTTAACCAAACCTACCGATGTACGCTTATATATATTTATATCTTTCATTGTGTTACCTAAGTCGCCAACTTTTGGCCCCCTTAAACCGAGTTGAACTCGTTGAGCCACACGTAAATCCTTCAATAGCGGCAATTGAGAACTCCGGTTGAATGCCATTGAGACAATGCAGCATCAAATTGCCGTGCAGCACATATTACTACAAAGCAACAATGACTACACAACTAGATAAGTATATATTCTAAACATATATGTACTCTATATACCTATACTTGAGCAAAATAATTGTCCATTGTGTGCGCTTATTTCGTCTTTATATATATTTCCAATTAGTTGCTTTGTATCAAATTGCCATTGCCAGGCAACGAACTAAGCCATATAATAGATAAATATATATATATATATATATATATATATATATATATATATATATATATATATATATATATATATATATATATTTCAATGTAGTTGGAATATAAGCACAATCCAGTCGTTTGTGGATGCCGCCGGCTAAGCACAACTGCTGAAAATAATCGCAATGCTGCATTGTCCGCAACAATAAGAAAAGTCGCATGAAATTATAGCCAAAAGTGCAATGACAACTAAACAAAGTTAAGACCATGTGGACTATTTTGTTTATGATGCAGCATAATTGTAGCTTAAGCTAAACCTGATACTTGATTAAGGTCTCGCGCATCTTTTAAGTAAACTTCTTTGTATTGTTGTCTATTATGTTATATTTGTGCCTATTCAAGGAATGGGTTACATTTATAACAAGGCAAGTTTATTTGTTAGAAGATTGTCACTCTTCGCGGAGACAATCAGTTCTACATAAATTGTTGTATTTAATTCACTTGTAATTCAATTATATAAATTATGTTTTGTTCTATTTTTTATATATAATAAATAATACAACTGTCTTCATAATAATAATAAAAAAAACTTTTTATTTATCTATGCTTTAAGCTAATGTTTTCTGTACAAGTAACATAAGCTACAGTAAAATTTAAAACAAATTGAATTAAGATACTATGAGCAAGTAACCGTCAAAACTTAAATACAAGCAAGAGTAAAGAAATTAATTCAATTGAAACAATCTTTCGAGCTCAAACTTTAAATACACATACTAAAAAATCTACAGCCATATATCTAAGCTGACATTTACACAAAAAAAAAACCCGAATGAAATGTTAAATGTTCAACGTTTCGCGCTCTGAAGTGTCTGTTCATACCGAGCTATTGTAAGCTTCTGCACTTTTTCCCTACCAAATACACACACTCGCATTGTACACTGTGAAAAATTATATAACCTTTCAGTGCTGCGTTTGCATTTTTTATGCGAAAAGAAGAACTTTTGCTTAACAATACAAAAGCGTAAAATATTTAAGTGGCATATGGAGCGGCGAGACCAAAGGAGGGGCATTAGAGGAGCTTGGCATTGTGCGCGAGTAGCTTGCATATATGACCTTATTTGCGTATACGTAATTTTCGCAGATTTTTTACTTGGCAAATGCACGAACCGCTGTTGGCAACTGCCATCAAATAAAACATGTTGCAATTGCTGCAAAGGCAGGAGGCAGCTTAATGGATTTGTAGTATGCTCAACTATAAAATATTTAGAATGCAATAAACAAACTTCTTCTAAATGGAATCAGAATTTGGCATATTGACAGCTTAAAATTAGTATATTAAAGCTATAATTGGCAATAACTACTCAGTATTAACAACAAGCTTGTAGATTTTGTAACATATTCATTTACAATAAAATAGTTTCCATACATTAAATTCTAAAAACGCTTTCAACGCTGGTTGAAATTTACTTCAACTGTTATCTTGCGCAGTTTAGCCATCCTTTAGTTAAGTTTAATTCATTTGTAATTCATAATATTCATAATATATAAATAAATTACGCATATTGCTTGACAACACTGGCAAGTGGCCTTAAATTGTCGCTTAGCTACTTATCATAGCCAGCTTGATATTAGCTTTTAGGTAATCTAACATCATTTTCGCTTTAAGCCTTCCATTTGAAACCTTTCATGCGAACTCAAAGACCTCAACTTATTGCCAGAAACCATTTGGTAGCCACATTGCAGCATTTTGCAGCACTGGAAAATATCTCATAGAATTACTATCAACGCTGACAGGAGGCAGCCAGTTGGTCGCCAGCCAACTTGCAAAAAGGTCCCAGGTTGAGGGCGGGCAAGGACACCTGCCCTATAATCCATTCACTTACGTGCGGAAATTATTATAATTGCATTAGTTCAGAGGCAGAAAATTGAAATTGAAATACGTTAGACGTTAGCCGGGACGCAAGCCAGCGCGAAGCAGGACGCGACAGGATGTTGACGAATGCGCTACGTCAGCTTCACTTTACGTAATATGCGCTAGGAGCTCCAGGATCTCAGCACATGGTGTGTCAACGACGACATTTTGGCTCTGCTTTTTTAAGTTTGCAATTTAATTAAAAAGTAATTACATTTTTTCACATTTTTCTATAGCAAAAGTCAATTGCTTATAATTTCCATTAGCTGAGTAAAAAATAGCGCAGAGCTCGTCATATTAATGGAAAGAGTTGTGTGTGCAGGTCTAAGCACCTGAATTTACCATGTTGTTCACCTGCCCATGGATTTGTGTGTTGTTGTTAAAGTTTTGATAGGCATTTCGTGCTTTGTGCAAAAACTCACAGGGAATTCGTGTAGGTCTTAATGACTGGCAGAAAAATCAATAAAGCTAATGACGTTGATTTGCACGCCAATCGCTAGTGTTGAAGCTAAACAGCTGCCCATAGTTAATCTCTAATTTGTCTAGCTGAAAACGTTTGTTTCAATGACTCAAGCATTAATCTCGTACTGGTACGAAAAATGAAAAAGAATGCCAAATGGATCCATTTTAAATATTTTATCTAACTTTTTTCTTGCAATTTAAAGCATTCGGTTTTGTGAATTATTTATCCATGAATTTAAACAATTCTAAGGCAGTTATAGAATAATATTTCATTATCTCTCTCTCTTCCATTCTATTTCTATCGTACTCTCTCTCTCTCTCTGAAAAAATTTACACCATTTCAAGGCAATTATAGAATAATATTTCTTAATCTCTCTTTTTCTCTCTCTCTCTCTCTACTTATCTCTATCGCTCTCTCTTTCTCTCTCACACTTTTCTCTGCCGCTCTCTCTATCTCTCTCTCTCTGAATGAATTTACACAATCCCAAGGCAATTTTAGAATAATATTTCTCCATTTCACTTTTTCTCTCTCTGTATCGCTATCTCGCTCTGGCTCTCTCTATATGTCTCTCATTCTCTAAATAAAATTACACCGTACCTAGGCAATTCTCTCTCTCTCCCTCTCTCTGTATATTTTCGCTCTGCTGCGAATTTCGCTTTTATTGCAAACAAACAAATTTATCCCTGATTGCGATCGTAAAAGAAAACATTTAAGCGAATATTAAAGACTCGTAAAGTCAACAAAAAACTATATAAAATAAAATTCAACGTACAAATTTGCTTAAAAAGCGACAAATGAAAAAAAAATATACGAGGAACTCTTCAATGTGGTAAAAATGTTATATGCGGTCTGCATGCGATTGCCAGATTTGTGCGCAAAATATGCAAATATTTAAATGGCTGAAGCGAAAAACTATTGTACTCAAAGCATGGATTTGTGTAGAGTTTTTGAAAGAGTGAATACCCTGCCAAAACATATTCCTCTAAATTATATATTATAGTTACTTATCACATTGTCTTCTTTCTAAATAATCACATTAAGTTAAATTGAATTATAAAAGTAAACAAAAAATAAATATTTTGATAAGCTGCTCCCTAGATCTCAATTGTTGTTCTTTTGTAGTTGGTTTAGTTTATATGCCCTAACAAAGAGTATTTATCATTATAACTTTTCTATCGTTACCCTACTAAAATATGGTAGAACAGGCCACATTCTTGGCCAATTCGTAACGCTCCGCGTCAGCGTATTTGACTACCCAACGGCGAAAAGTCAGTTGGCATGCAACCCCGTGCAGGCAATCGGAAAAATATAACTTTTCGCAGTTAAAATTCTACCAAGTCACCCAAAAAATGCACACAATATAGATTATTCTGCCGTGTTTGCAAATGAAAGTAAAAAAGCCTTTAGAACAACATATGTGCAAATAAATAAAAGTCTCAAAAAGAGCAATTTATTTTTTTTTACTTACAAATATTTTAAAGCTTAATTTGGCACGAAATTTAAGATTGTGCAGAAAATATTTGAAATAAAATAGAAAGAAATGAATATACAATAATTCTGAGCCAAGAAAAATCATAACAAATAGAATTTCCAAGGCAATATAAAGTATTATATGAAATAAAAGAAAATATTTGAAATAAAATAGAAAGAAATGAATATACAATAATTCTGAGCCAAGAAAAATCATAACAAATAGAATTTCCAAGGCAATATAAAGTATTATATGAATATAATTTTAATTTAATAATTGATTTAAGCATGAATTAAATTAATGTTGTACCAGCTCACATTTAACATCATAATTTAAGATAAACTTATATATAATGTTCAAATTTTGATACCACCTTCTTTACATGTTTGAGTACCCTTTGGATTTCTGAATAGAAGCAACTGAACCACATATAATTAGAAAAGTTTCGCACTCGACGCACTGCTGTGCACTGCTCCACGGAGATTGGACACATAGAATTCGAGAAAAACTTCTACGTTTCACTTACTCGTTATTGTCTATGGCTCTTGTGAATTTGCTTTGGGTGGGTTCCCTTTTGGTTATGGTCAACAGCTCGTTCGAGATTAGAGAACTGCTGGGTGTTTCGAGCGGCGGAAGCAAGGAAAATGTGCAATTTGCTGTGGTCAATGGAAGTGCAAACTACTTGATTCGACGCGCTTTGAATGCACAAATGGGAAAGCGCATGGAATTGTCTGTTGAAATGCAAAAATTTCAATTAATGTGCCAAAATGATATTTGGAACTATTCAGTGAAGCGTGAAAGGAAAGTGTTCGAGAGAAAGGATAGTATTTAGGTCAGGGGTCTATAGTATAATATAGAACGAGTATTATACTAAAATGAAAGCAACACCTAAGTGCTAAGGCTCGAATCGATTGTTCTATACATACGTGAAAGTTCTTGCTTACACTTAACATAAATACAAAATATAAATGAGGACATGTTTAAAATACGAACCCCAACATTTATTTTAACAGCCAGCTAAGCTTAGCAACTTAATCAAGCTAGACAGCTTAACATGTTTACAGCAAGTGGGAAGACTTTTGAATACAAATGGGTCTTTTCTAAGTACCAACCCGGGTGGTAAATGCTCCAAATCTAGACTCGGCTTAAGATACCCTGTATAGACAATGGTCAGCTTGCATATTGATGAGGTGGTCTGATAGAGTAGGGCAAAGGACACGTGCTGCCAACAATAACAACAAGTGCAGGCTCACAGTGTGTGTGTGCCATTAGATAAGTGCAACAATAGCAATGCATTTGGACTGGGCGTCGCCAGCTGACTTTGCTTTGAGTGTGTGACTAATTGCAATAACAACATGCGAGGCAAGCGAATCGATAGCACTAGCCAGGACATGAAGTACGCCGCAATGCCGCCCCACGCAGAGCCAAGCCTGCTGTTGTTGTTGTTGCCATTAAAGTGACGCTAGAGGTGGAAGGTGGAAGGTGGTACAATAAAAGTTTTGACTGCGCTGCGCTGATGTAATACCGCAAGACAATCTGCCTTTGCACGTCATATAGCCAACACACACACGCAACAACAATTGAAGATATTAAAGCCGGCAGAAGACAAAACTCTCGCATTCGCTCTCGCTGTCTGGCACACTCTTTGCAGCGAGAGAGAGAGAGCTCTACTTCTATACAAAAAGCGCACGCGCGCGCGCGCGCTCTCTCTCTCTCTCTCTCGCTCTTGCTCTTCCTCTTTCCAACAGCTGTAACAGGAAGAGTCACCAAAAGGAAAGCATTTCAAACTTTTTCTCAGTGCTCGTAATTTGGTGAATCAGCTGTTCTGCAAAGCACACCCCACCCAACCCTTACCTTCCTCTTTGCACAACCGTAACTGGAAAGGCAGGCGACGTTTTTTGTGTTTCGTGCTTGAATTGTATTCACAGCCTTGTCGCCGGTTCGCTCTGCCCGGCCGGTCCCGCTAGCTAACGGTGCTTCGTCGTGCTACACTTCCTTCAGGCCACATACACTACACCACATGGCTATTGATTTTTTTCGTCTTTTTTCCGTCTGTCTGTCCCTATGCTGACGCGTCTGGTGTTGAGCGTAATGTGCATTAATTTATTCTATGTCAAGCCAAATTTTTATATTTCTTTTTCATATTTCGCTTTTGCATTGCATGTTTGCTTACTGCCAACTCCTTTTCATGACACTTCCAAGAGTTGTCACTGAAAGCTGGTAAAATTATATATGGTGCATATAAATTGAAATTTATCTCAAAAGCAGCTTTAGCGGTAATAAATAACTCAAATAAATAATACCATTCTTTACTTTTTAAAAATATGAAATGTTTCAAAAAAATTAATTTTCTAATAAATATCGTATTAATTAAAATGTGTATTTTATTTTTATTAGAAATTCCAGCATTAGTTTCATGAATACCTCATTATATACTTTCGTTTGACAGTAATTCACAATAATAAAAATAAAGATGAACTTATATGTAATGGATTATATTTAATATCCCCTAGCAATTCGTTGACCGCAATTTCATTAAATCAAAAATATTTTGCACCCATAATCCCATGATATAATCCCTTAACAGTGCAACACCCTCTCGAGCAGTCATAAATTCAATTCAGTCACCCCATTTGGTCTGCTCCCCTCTTCTTGGCGAAATCTTCACCCTTCTCCGCGCCTCTGGGTATGCAATAAAAATCTGTCTCACATAAATCAAGCGACTTGCACAGAGATCCGCAATATAAATAAATAAAAGCAGATGCTCTACGTAAGTGGGTTAAGAAACTACAAAATATTAGCAGCTAGATAGTTGTGTCTTTAGAAACTGTAAGTTTTAAAAATCGAAAAGGTTACAAAAAATCTTGAGCATAAAACATCAAATATTTCAACATTTTATGCATCTAATGACAAATGTATGTAATGATGGTGATGAATGATGAAGTATAATGAAATTCTCTTAACTAACTTTCAGGATTCTCATTATTGAAATCATGGCTCACTTCACAAATTTCCTATTTTTATAAAAATTAAAAAAATAAAATAAATTTAGTAAAAATATTAAGTGATAAAAACAAAGTGTTCCATATTGTGAGTGACCACAATAATTTACACAGGATAACCTAATCTAAATTTTTTAACATACAATTTTTAAAAGAATTGTGTCTCACAATAGACACAAATTACAAATAAACTTGTTTACTCCATTTAGTTGGGTAAGGAGAGATGAGTGAAACTTAAGTATATATGTTTATAAGGATATATGTACCTTGTCTACCGGCATTGATGGGCACGCTCTGCACAGATTCCAGAATGAGCCAATCATAGGGAAATGCTTTTATTGTTGTCGAACCCAATGATCAAAATACAAATTAAATAAACACGCGCGCGTTTACTTGTTTCAATAATTTATATTTTTTTAATTGTTCGCGTTGTCAACTTTTAGAGGCGCAACAACCGCAACTAACACATACACATTAACACACGCGTAATGCTCACTCACGCTCGCTCACTATTTCTATCGCTCTCGCTCTCTCTCTATACGCACACGCACCTTGTTAATGCGTTGTGAAGAAAGTGCGTATGTGTTTGTCAAGTTTTCGGATTTATTTGGTGTCTTTCTGTTTTAAGTGTAATATAGCCAGCAGCTGTGGGAGGGAAGAGAAGGCGGAAAAAATGTAAGCGGAGAGTGCGTTAGAAGAAGTATTGCATACCAGCAGGCTACGGCAAGTGCCGTTATAATGATGATCTCATACACAAGCAAACAGTCGCACACAAGCTCTAAAATACACACACAAGCAACATCTTTTTATACGCCTAGGCGCTCATACACAGACACACACACACAAATGTCACACAATTGAGCCAATTAATGTATAATTTACAAAGTTCTCATGTGTGTGTGTTGCCTTTCCGGGCAACTTTAGTAATTTGATATTAAATTTTTTATTTCACACACAGAAATAGCTATAAAGACCTCTTCCCCCTCTCAAACAATCAACCAACAAATCGATATCTATTTTTCATGACAGCCGTGTGGTATGCAATACTCTTCTTTTGCCGCTTGCTTTAATTTTCTTCTTTTTTATTTGTTTTTGCTGCACTAATTTGCCGTTAGCGGGCAGTGAAGCGCAACATTTGCCGTTTACTTCAGTTGCCACTACAAAAATTTACTTAGCACTGAACACACTTTTTTGCTTTCAATGGAACGTTGCTGTCGGTGCTGCTGCTGCTGCTTCTAGTGGTCCAAATAAAAAGTCTTCGTTTCACCGCTTACGTTTACAACTCGACGACGTTACGTACACGACTGAGCGGAAAGTGTGCTGCAAATTGCCGTCGGCTATGTACGAAAAGCGGTAGAAGAACGCCGCCAAGCCACCCAATTGAAGCCAAAGCGTCGGCGTTGGAGTTGACGCAGCGCTTGGAAGTTGTGCAGCAACGCTATCGGGGGCAGCGTTTTTCGGGCAGCTGTTGTGAAGCGCTCACTGGAAAGCTGCATATTGCTTTTAAAGCAAACATATGTTACAAAGCCAGAGGCGTACCATTCATACGTTTTTAATACAATTACATTAATTGATTACTACATTTAATGATTAATTGTTTATTGCAAAAATAATTATATTTTGCACGCATTAATTACAACAAAGATTCGAACACTACTTTTAACTTTATGGCAACGCTGCTCAGTTCCCGCTTACGTGCAGGCGTAACAGCTGACTATCATATTGCAGGAACTATCGATATTTATTCAGCATATATCGCGCATTTTCATATCAGCGGCACATCAAAATATGGAGTTGAACTGGGAAGTAGCCTTTTGTGTGGGCATAGCGGTATTTGTACATATTCTGATAGTAATATTTGTCATGGGCAAACGACCAAAGAGCATTGTAGGCCGTCACGTGGTCATCACCGGTGGATCCAAGGGCATAGGCCTCTGCCTGGCCGTCGAATGTGCCATGAAAGGAGCCAATGTCACTGTTATCGCCCGCGACGAGAAAATGTTGAGTAAGTGGAAAACCAGAAAAACGAGCTATATAAATTTCACTGTTCGACAACTCTCTCCCTTTCTGTATGGCTCCACAGGTGGAGCAGTAGCTTTAATGGAAGTCATACGGCAGCGACCGGATCAAAAATTCCAATATCGCAGCCTGGATATTGGCGGTGACTACGAACAAGTGGCCAGCGTACTGAGCGAGCTGGAGGAGAGCACGGGGAACATCTATGCGCTTATCAATTGCGCTGGAATGGCAATATGTGGGCTGTTCGAAGAGCTGGCCGTGGCCGACGTGCATAAGCTGATGAATGTGAACTTTTTTGGCAGCTACAACTGCACACGCTATGTGCTCCCCAAAATGAAGAAAGCCCGCGAGGGCATCATTGTACTCACCTCCTCGCAGGCAGCCATGTTTGGCATCTATGGCTATGGACCCTACTCCGCCAGCAAGTATGCGCTGCGCGCCATGGCGGAGACAATTGCCATGGAGTCGCGTGCCCATGGCGTTTCAGTTACATTAGCTCTGCCCTGCGACACGAATACGCCGGGCTTTGAGGAAGAGGAAAAGTCGAAGCCACGTGTAACCAAAATCATTTCCGGTGGCGGCGGGCTTCTAGAGCCTGAGGTTATGGCCAAGGCCATACTCAAGGATGCGCTAGTAAGCTGTGACTAATATGCATAATTTTTATGAAAATAATTGTCTTTTCTTCCACAGCTAGGTAACTTTATATCCACGGTGGGAGTTGAGAGTTGGCTGATAACTTTGCTGGGCGGCGGTTTGTTGCCTTGGGATGGTTTCTTTACGAATTTGCTGCACGCTTTGGTCATTGGACCAGTACGTCTTTTCGGCTATGGCCTGCACAAGTACTTTAACAGCATTATACGCAAATGTGCTAAAGAAGATTCTGCTAAGCAAACAACTGGCAAGGAAGCAGATAATGCAAAAGTTGAAAATCAGTGACATCTAGAGGGAGAAGTTAATGACTAGCTGCGTTATATATATACAGATGCCTTATGTCTACCGTATCATTCGAAAAGCCTGAAGCCAAATTCATTTAGCTTGTGTTACAAATGTTTCCATTTCCATTAGGCATTTGTTATTTTAGACTAAAAACATATATTTTTGGTTTCTTAAGTGTGTATTTTTTGTATCAATAAAGTATATAGTTTGATATCCATTTTGATTTGAATAATTTACATTACAAATTATAGACATCATTTGTATGTGTTACTATAGTAGAAATTAGGCTAATTTGACATAAAAACGGGACGGGAGACTCACGATAAGATAAGATAAAAATGAAAGTAGGCTACTTGATATAGCATTAAAATTAGTTATTTCACAGTGACTCAATGTCTTGGCAATGTATATACAAACAAAAAATACTATATTAAGGTCAATGACTATTTTTTACTTAAAACATCTGAAAAGTATTTAAAATTTATAAATTTAAAAAAAACCGCGCGTACTGTGCTATATTGCGTTTACTTCGAGCTTTTTTGCGTTGTGCCATCAGAGAAGTTAGCCACTCAAAAAGGAACGTATTATCGATCAATTTCACTTATCGACTTATTTGCATCACTAAAACTAAGAGTTCTGGCGATGTAAGGAAGTGTTTTATATTGATTAGTGTAAAAGCATGTAAATTTAACTATAGCAAACTTTAATTAAGATTTATATTTAAATCATTATGCTTACTTGTGTGGTAACAAGTGTGTGTACTTGAAATGTACATAGTTATATTGTAAAGCAAGCTAATAAATTTTGCTATCGTCAGCGCCTTAGCACTAGTGATGCCACAAGTGGTGTGAAAAAAGTTATAGCTGTTCAAAGCTAAAAGTTCGATGAAAAATATCAATAATAGTTTTATATACAACCAAAAAATGTGCATATAGTTAAATAAATTATATAATAAAATGTGATTAATAACACCATTAAGTTTACACGCGAAAAACTATATAAAACAGATAAATGGCCACCAGCGCAGCAGAGCTAATGCCGCTGATTAGACGGAAATTAGGAGAAGTGGGAAAATAGATATACATATATCTTTTTATACTTGTTCATAAATATGTAAATGAAAATCAATGCCAGCAAGTTGAAATATTTACAAATAAATTAAAATAATATCGAAAAATTGTTTATGTTGTTAGTGCTGCAATTAATACCCATTTAAAAAATTGTATAAATAAACGAGTGGAAGGATTGGATACAGTACGTACGTACTATGAAATACCCTGTATGATAGCCTATGTAAATTAATGTGCTTGCCATTTATTTCCAATTGATTGAAAGTTTTGTGTTACGCGTGCATACTACACATGGCAACTGCTACAGGGCATTAACGACTGTGCAACGTACACAATGAAACGGTCAATTGATTGTCGGTCGGCCGTTCGGTCGGTCAGCTGCTCACTTGCCTTTCATTTATTACTGTTCTCCCTGTCACTTTTCAAAACAATTATATACGTAATACGACTTCTTGTCCGTCTATGTGTATGCGGACTGTAATTCGAGTTTTCAACTTAATATAAATATATACTTAATTGATATTAAAACAGAATGCGTAAAGATGTCGTTGACGTTGTTTACGTAGAGATTTGCTTATCATTTTACTACGTTTTGCACTTATGTGCACCACAACGTCATCAACAACAACAGCAACAATTACGACTACAGCTACAGCGGTCATATATATGTCCCACGTAAAGAATTTGCTTACGTAGTCCCAGTCACAGTCACATTTACCGTTAACTATTTTTAGCTGCAAAAGTCTTTATTGCGTTCTTCAATATATCTCTTCTTGTTATACAAATATGTATACATTTACTTATTTTAATTATACAATAACAAATATTTATGAATTTGTGTCTAGAGATAAAACGCGGGGAATGACTGTAGTAAGAAGGATGATTTATTTGAAGCAAATGTAAAGAACTGAGAGTAAAGTACCCTAGACCTAAACGTTCTTTAAGATATTGCATGAGCAACGCTTCGGGTTCTTTTTTCTATAAACATGAGCCATAAGCAAATTCAAAATTTACACTATTCATAGAGAAATAATAAATAACTAAAACGAATCAATTTTCAGTGCATGGAAATTAATTAAATTTTGAGACTGGAACAGAAACAAGAAAGATACTAATATTACATTAATTATAAAACGCAATAAGCGCACTTAGCGATTTACATAAACTAATAGAAATCTTGTTCTAGTTGTTTAAACAACTATTCAAATGCTATTAAATTATCTGTGAGACTTTAAGCAAACTCTGTTATCATATCAAAGGGCATTTAGCCAGAGTTGTTGAGCACGGGAAATGCTTGTTCATTAGCATTGAATGTTAAATATAGCATAGACACACATTTGTACACGTCTATATGCTATAAAAATCTTTAAGATATTTCGTATGTCAGCAGTTGGTCACGTATGGGATCTAAGTGGCTTACTATACTCTATCAAACAATGGGGTATTATAAACGTAGTTAATATTTTTGCAATTAATTTGTTAAAAATATATATAATCAATAGTTCAAAATCGAAGCATAAACTAAGCTTGTTACATAAGGTTTATTTATTTATAGTAAAAATTAAGATAATTTATATGATAAAATCTTTTTAAAATGTCAAATTAAGAACACTTAACAGTATCATGTGTTATCCTCTTGTATGTTATCATATGCATTACTTGCATATCCTAGCAAAAATGCAGTTACAGTGATCATAGAATTATTATAGGAGTACAGCAAAAGTCGCTCTGCTATTAAACTTCTGTGCTCAGTAGCTTTAAAACTCTTTCAAATATATTTAAAAAGTAAATTACAAATAGTTAAAAATATTGATATACATGTAAAGCGTGAGCAGAGCCAGCTTCACATTTTCGTTAGCTGTTCAAATTTGACATTAACAGCGTCACATAATACGTAACAATCTAAGCACGTTTCATGTAGTCAAACTTTTGCCAATTTCTTTCACTTATTTTTATCTAATCAATAGTTTGGTCTTGGGCTACTGACGTAGTAGTGGTCATTACACAATTTGTATGGCAAATATATATAATATATATGTATGCCGTTTTGCTTTAGAGCACAATGTTGTATTACCTTTATGCTTGGCTTTTCTGATCTACCTTGTGCTGACCATATCAGAGACACTTGACGCAGAGTGTATGCGCTTATCTAGACAGCCCAGTTGTTGCGGACTGATTTGGTGGTTTTTCTCCGCCAGATTTGTTAGTACAACGCAGACTTGGAGCTGATATCGTTTGTGTGTGTTTGTCGTATACAAATAGTACGGCGAGAACACTTGTTCACTGATTAATTATTTGGTTGACTTTTGTTTCAAGCAACTCCAATTCATTTCTTTGCAGCAAGCCGGACGCAACGGATACGTTGAACACAAATAAATTTGCATGCAGCTGGAGTAGAATATTCAACCAACTACAGGCTGACAAACACTCACAAAGATGTCACAAAATCAATCATATTTCTGGCAAACGACCAGACATAATGTATATCTAAAGCGCTCCGCCAAATGGCATATGGCAATGGCCTTGATGGTGGTGCTTACATTCTCGACCATATGTGCGGCCGAATCAAATCCAGATGGCGATGAGAATGCCATAATTGCCGACATTCAGCAGGTAAATGAACTTGAATACAATGAATGTAGATCAAATATTAATGAATTACTAATTTCTGTGCAGAATGTGGAACAACAATCGATAGTTAAATTGGGCACGGAATCAGTTGGATTACTAGAGAAAAATCTTGAGTTGGAACCGGAAAAGGAGAAGAAAGTGAAGGGCAGTTTTATCGATGCGTTTACCGCATCGATCTCTGTTATATTATTAACAGAGCTAGGTGATAAGACTTTCTTTATTGCTGCCATAATGGCAATGCGCCATCCTCGTTTGATTGTCTTCTTCGGTGCTATAACCGCATTGGCGCTTATGACGGTTCTCTCGTGCGTATTTGGCATGGCAGCAAACTTTATTCCTAAGGTATATATAGAAATAGGCTGCTTATCTTAAGTAACTGACGTGTATCTACCTAATGGATTATCTTTCGACAGATTTATACGTATTATATATCTACTGCATTATTTTTAATATTTGGTCTAAAAATGTTGTTTGATGGCTACAAAATGAAACCAACCGATGCCCAAGAGGAGCTCGAGGAGGTGCAAAGCGATTTGCGTAAGCGCGAAGATGAGGTAAGTCACACACCTTTATTTTGCTATACTTTTTATCTTAATACACCTCTAGCTGTAGTTTGTAGATGCAAAAAAAAAAAAAAAAAAACAATTCTGTTTTCTTTTTAAACACCAACGCTTTGTTAACAATTGATATAAGTTGTACTTGTGCTTATTGTATATAGCTACGCTTTATTGGTTGTACTTAATAATTGGCAATATTTATTTTTACAAATAAACAATAATAACAATAAAAATAACAACTAAAAGAAGAGGCGATCACTTCATTTGCTCGTTTGACACGTTTGCCTGTAAAAAGCCCAATTTTTATTAGTAAACATTGCTTGTAACCTTAACACATTTTGCCTCTTTCTGTCACAAAACAATAAAATAAACACAGAAAATTAGAAACAAATTGAATGCGAACTTCTCGTGTTTCGTATCGTAATTATAGCTAAATTGCATGCTGATTGTGCCACCCAATCATAATATTTTACAAAATTAATCATTTTGAATTTAGAAAAATCCCAAACTAACAACGAGTCTTAAATCAAGTTGTGTCAAGCTGTTGGCGCAATGAAACCCAGGCATTGAAACACACTGTTAGCTATGCCCTCAGGAAAGGTCCATTGCCTGCCATTAATCAATCACATGCGATCTTTATTTGATCTTAAAGCTGAACTTTGTTGAGCTGCAAACATACAACTTATCGATATACATATATATAAATATCTATATATATATATATTTATTATTTTTGTATAAAATATGCTACACAGCACACACATACGCCTATGTGACTAATTGCACGTCGCAGTGTAAAGAACATTGAAAATACAAAATGAACAAACAAATTAACAAATTGTCAAGTTTATAAACGAACCGCTTAACCGCAAAACAAGTTTACCAGAAAACCAAAAAACCAACTTTATTTGTGATTTGTTTACAAAACTTAGCTAATGTCAAATTTAATTATTCTTTCTTTCAAAACTTCCCATAAAATAATTTAACAATAAACATGTGAATTATTATCTCGAAATAAAAAACGAACAACAAAAAAAAAAACAAAACTCTTAGCTAATGCGCAAGTTGGATGATGCGGAAGCGAAGCGTAAGAATAGCAACTCGGACAAGGAGGATGCCAGCGAACAGGCGCTCATACATGGACGCAAGGCGAGCTTGTTGCCGAAGTCGAAGTCGGGCAACAGCTCCGAGATGCAGCACCGCCAGCGTAAACCCACCAATGCCAACAACAACAACAACAATAACAATACTACCAGTAACTCAACTAGTGATAAGCAAACGAGCTGTGATAAGACTGGCAACGATGTGGACTATCACAACACCGAGGTGCTGCTCAAGGATGGGGGACGTGTTGTCGAACAGCTGAAAATGACAACGTTCCACAATAGCCCCACGCACTCGGGATCGACAGCCTCATCGAACCAGACCGAACAAACCCATTGTGATTACCCCCGTAACAACAAGAATCCCACTGCTTCCGTTGACCCCGATTCGGAACTGGACTCGGCTGAGCCGCGTGCTCCACTAGCAGGCCACGAAAGCATCTACAGCTTCAATGAGGCCGCTGACAGCGAGGAGAGCGCGCTTAAAGCACGGGTTAGAGATCAAGCAACAATGCTTACAGCTGTTGTTTCATCTACGTTTCACCTGCTTTTTAAAACAATCAGCAACCAAAGAATACCCCCAATAAAATTATACACACACACGAAAACACACATACACACACGCGCACATAATCATTGAGCGTTTTTTTTTTTAATTGCATATTATTTTTAAGTAAATAACACATGCCATGTTGCTAGCGGTTAACGGTATTTGTTATTCGATACTTTGTTTTGTTTCATTTTCATGCCAGTTCGTACATTGCTCCAATTAGGCTATGCCATTGCCAAAACGTTCCATCTCACGCACACACACACAGACACAAATATTTAAATGCATGTGCTGTTCTCTATTCCGTTTAGTTATGAAGTGATCGTTTGTAATAATTTCGCTTTGAAATATACATAAATATTTTTTTCAAATTGTTCTATATTTAATTGTGCAAGTTTGTTTATCCGTTCTTTCCTCCTTTGTTTATCCTTTGCACACATACGTCTCATCCACCTAAAAGTGACTTGATTAACATTTTAATGATGAGCTTTATATTTTTAATTTGCAGCTGGATCGTGATGTTAACACTGCGCTGGTGCACGATGCGGAGAGCGGACGTCGCAGCAAGGTGCAACGCAGAGGCGCCACCTATTTTACTATGCGCATCTTTGCCCAAGCCTTTACGATGACCTTTCTTGCCGAATGGGGCGATCGTTCGCAATTGACAACTATCATTCTGGCTGCTAGCAAGGTGGGTGTTTCACTTCCACTTGTTCCAACTCGAAATCATTCAATTTTGTTATTTATTTGATTCATTTTAAAATATTCCATTTACATTACTAATTAGTTGAGTACGCGTTACAAGTTTTTCAGTTCCAAATGTTCCAATTTTTTCTAAATACAATTGCTTAACTTCTTTTGCCTGCTCTCTAGTATCGAATCTAATTGGAATCTCTAGTTACTCGTGCTCCGATTCCAAACACTTGTTCCAAAACCAAACGTTTCAATTACGTTACTAATTAGGTCTTACCTTCTTTTTGCAGGACGTCTATGGCGTGATTGTTGGCGGCATTCTTGGCCACTGCATTTGCACTGGTTTGGCTGTGATTGGTGGTCGCCTGGTGGCCTCCAAAATCTCGGTGCGCACTGTCACCATTGTGGGTGGCATTGTGTTCATTGGCTTTGCGATTTATGCGGTGCTGATGCCGCCCGATGATCTAGTAACCAATAACTAATAATCCATATTAGCCTGTTGTTTGTTGATGACTCCCCCACTTCCCATAACAAAAGGATACATGAATTTAAGCTGTAGTTTTCGAGGAGCAGGCATTATTTCTGTTCATTTTGTAAATTAATGCACTTTATAGCGAAAGAGAGAGAGAGAGAAAAGGAGAGAGGGAGAACGAGAACGGATGGAGAGAGCGCCGCTAGCTAACCTAAAGTGCCTTCAGTGCTTTTCGCTTTAGCCATGACAAACAAATTTAGTTGCAAAAAAAAGTGTATCAATTTTTCTGTTAGAACCAATTAACCAATTTGTAATTTCATTGCTTTAAGTATTAAAGTTTTCCTTTGTACATACGCGTGCTTGTTAACTATGTTGCCAAAGCTCCTCTTAATTAGCTCATTTAAATTCCTAATTTATGTAGCAATGTTTACTTAAAAAAAGAGAATGAATTAAATGTTTATTGATTTTACGCAATCTCTTTATAGAAAGAAAATAGTAAAAGAGCAAGCAAAATGTTTTTCTTACGCTTTTTAGATGGGGAGGGGAATGGAGTTCTTTAACAGTGCTTTCTCGATGTTATGTTAAAGGGCTGTTATTAACATTATCCGCAATTGATTGATTTACAGGTTCTTTACATTATTCTCACAGTTGATCTGTTCTATAATATGCAGCTAACAGTGCGCTCTTTAAATAAATATTTTCAGCATTGATTTACTTTGTTAATGAAAGGGATGTTGCTACAATGGCAGGAAAGAGTATAAATTGAAATTAAAATTTGTTCATATAATTTATTTTACAAATACAAGGTAGCTGTGCTTATTCGAGACGAAATTTGGTTCAGGATTATAAGATAACAAGAGTCGAAAACACACACACATGCTTAGTTTTGCACTGGTATATCTGACACGAGCCTTAAATGGTTGGGCGTGGCATTTTACTTCATTGTCTTGGGGTCACGATAGATGCCCGTGAACAAAACAGCGCTAGCCTTATGATCGTAGATCAGAAAGACGAACGGATGATTGCACTCGAATTTAGTTGGCTCCACTGGCCGGGCCGATCGGAAGCTAACCAAAACAGTAGCCGCCGCCGCTGTGCTGCCCTCCTCATCGACCTTGATCTTGGCCATGTGCTTGGCATCGCCAAAGGAAAGCTTCTGCACGGTGCTAAAGTCGTTGAAACTGGCGTTAGAATCGAATATCTGATTGACGCCCATTTGACGCAGGATCTGGAAAGAGATAGCAGCTATATAGCTATAGAACATATGGCATGGGGTCTGTTCACTCACCGGCAGGAGTTCCAGACGCTGCTCGAACTCAAATTTGGGCAGTGATACCTCGATTTCGCGCATAGAAGCTTCCTTAAGCGACGCATCTAACGTGTCGGCATTTAGCTTGGACAGCACCTGTTCCAGTGCATCATTATTGAAGGCTGGCAATATGATGACCATAGATATATCCGAATTCTCATCGTCATCCTTCATCGATGTTTTATACGGCAGCTGCAGAACGTGAGCGCCTAGGCGCTCATCCGGATGCAGCAGGAAGTTGCCCTTCTGCTTCATCATGGGCACAAAGGAGAACTTTTCGCTGGACGTATAGAATGGCATTTGTTGGGTCTTGTCCGCATTAAAGCGGTTAGACCACTGGCCCTTGAAATAGGCAGCGTTGGCCAGCACCAGTTGAGTCCGCGAATCAATGTCGCCGGAAACAATCATATCCTTGATCTGATCGTGTGTGACATTAGCAATCCAGGCGTTGATCTGCAGACGCGATTGCTCCACATTCTGCATTATATTCAGCTGCACGATTTCATCGTGCAGACGCGAATCAAGACACTCGGCCAGCTTGACCGTCTCGTCAAAGTACAGACGATCAGCGGAAGCGAACTCCAGTGGCATCTCCTTGTTGCGCACCTCCCGCAACTTCTTCTCTGAGCGATAGGCACTGCGCACAGCCTCCTTGTTTTGCGCCCACTTCAAACGCAGCGCATTGGCCAGCTCCTGTTCCGACTCGCCGGTGGCACCGAAATATGCCAATAAGAGGGCATGGTAGGTGCTGTAGGGTGAGAAGAACACATTCTCGTTGGGCGTTGCCTTGCGTATGGCATCCAACATGGCCACCGAGAACTCCTGCTGGCCCCGATACAAATCGGAACGCAGTAACGACATTGAAGCATCAGTCGGTGTGCCACACAGATCGGCGTAGAGCAGCGCCGGCAGCACCAGCATCATCACTGATAAAAACACCTTCATTCTCTGTCGAGATACAATTTAAGAGAGTTGGGGATTAGTAACCTTCGCCTTGCCAAATAATACGTGAGTGGAATTCAATACCATGGCCTTGACGGGTGTTATTTATTGGTATTATAAATTCGTCGGAATGTGCTTAATACCGAGAAGGAGGTACATTGACACGATAAATATTTTTGAAATATATACATAAGATTTTTCTATTGCCTATAGAGGTTGAGGTAGCTTTAAAAATAATTGTCATTATTTCTCTGTTTATTTCATAATTATTTTAAATTTAGTTTCTAAGTAAACAAATTGAGCTAGATTTTAATCACACGATCGAAATGGCAAATATGTACATTAGTTTAAGCTGCGGATAAACTCATTTCCTTTTTTATGATTCGATGATTACATTTAGTTATAACTTTGCTTTCCGTGTGTATTGTGTATTATCTATATTTATTTAATTTTCGAGTTAAACAATTCACATTGATCACTTTGAGCCTGGATAACACCGCTGCAACTTAATGGCATTGCAAATATTTACAGAGCAGATCAAACGGCTTGCAAGTCAGTGTCAGCTCTAACATCATCATGGGAAAAACGTGCCTCGAAAATGCAATTTAGTATTCGTCACGTACAAAGATCGTTTGGCTATTGTGTGGCTTAATTTATGCAAACAGATAAAAGCCGGCAAATTTATGCAGCGCAAGATTTGCAGCTTATTAAAAACCCTTTAAACTGGCTGATTCACCACTGCGATGCTCTCCAAAGCTGCGACAGCTAATTCATCTTAATCACACTTTCAGACAATTGCAACATCTCGCTCTCAAGCTGACGGCGGAAAGTGAAAGTTTTGTCTGCAATCGAATTCGCAACAACAAACCCGTCTATGCTGCTGTTGTTGTTGCTGCTGTTTTTACATTCGGCAGAGCATGAAAAAGAGAACGACTGTGTCTTTTCGCCGTGCTTTCGCAGCTGACTGCGCGACGTCATAGTTGCGTGATTCGCCGACGCAATGAAAACATTTTGTTAAAAAAAAATAAAAGAGAAAAAAAAACCCAAATACAAACAGAAAATTAACATTTTCAAAAACCAGTTTAAGTCCACACGGTTGTGTGCACTTTTAACCATGTGTGTATATGTATGCGTGATTCATAAATTGTTCACATTTCAACGCTTACGCGCTCTTCTTTGACCCTGTATTGGCGATTTTGTAATTGGCTTTGTTTCTCCCTTCTCTTCGCCCTCGTATTTCAGTTTGACTTTTGCGCGCAGCCTACCAACACAGTTGTAGCCTCACTCACGCCTGCACTGCCCACACACAAAAAACTAAAACAACAACTAGTTTGCAGGGAATTTCCAATTGAAGTTGACGCAAAGTATTGAACGTGCCTATGCATAATGTTTACCTGTACATGAACGTAATTGTTGTCAATGGAGAAGCCGTAAGAAATATAATTTAAATTAAGTGATTTTTCTTAAGAAATAACTTATTCACTCATTGCATTGATAAGGCTATTCAATTTAAGTATTAAATGGAATTTTATAATCTTGAACTTCCAGGGTTAAGCCAAATATTGACCTGTATACATATATAAAATTTTTAAATATAAATTTGCAGAACAGCATCGTCTATGATACTATTGATATATATATAGAAAAATAGACATTAATTCAACTTCATATTAATTTCTCTATGACAATGGCGTATTGTGTTTACGTGGGACAATAACAACAGAATAATAAAAATAATTTCGCAATCACTTATATACTGGAGCAGTCGTAGAGATATAGATTGGTTGCACATAATTCACCATAAATTGTACAATTGTTAATAGTAATTACGAAAAATGCTCAATTATCATATGTAAAGAGGGTCTCAATTTAAAAAAAAATCGGTCTCGTATACGATAATTATAACTTCCAATTGACTTTTACCTTTTTTTTGTTGATAAGCTTTATTCAATTGATGCGCACTCACAAACAACACAACTCACTTAAACGCCTTAAACATTTACACTGAGCTTGTTGATGAGCGCGGCTCAAATTATATTTCAATATGACGAACTACTTAATAGTTATACTCGATAGCATTAATCGATATATAAACGATACATTTTGTACATATCCGCTTCAGCTGTGAAACTTTGATTTTGCTATCGTAGGCAAAGCTCGTTCAAATAGCGATAAGATACGAATCTTATTCACAAATTTTTTATGAGGATTCGAATTTCTGCCGATAACGCAATCACGGCACGAATGTGGCGGTTCATCGAATGCATTTTGTTAGAAGTAGACCATCGCCAATATTTCGAGATGAGTAAATGACAGCTGAACGCTATCGATAAGAAGTATATCTAGTATTTTTAATTTAGCGCGTTTTGTTTCTTTTATTTGAAAGCAAATATAAAAATAGCATATAACAATTTAATGTTAATACGAAGATTTATGTGTAGATTAAAGAATATTAAAAAAAATTTAAGATACTAATATAAAACATTCCATAACATGTCAGTTTGGTACTATAAATATATTTAACATAAATAAATATATAAATATTAATATATTATACTTAATACTTATTTAAATTAATTTAAATAAATTAAAAAAATGTGATACTGTACTGAATGTACTGAATTACATTTATATACATATTTAAATAATAATCTATTTAAACAATAACTGCTTTTTCGTTTTTTTTTAAGCAAGTGTGTCTATTATTCGTCTGCAAAAAAATATTGTCAGTTCAAGTCACATTCGGCTTTATATGTATGTATTTAAGTGAAGGTTTATGATATAATTAAATGAAACAATTAATTTTCTAATTTATTTATATTTCTTTTTCAAAATCTGTTAGATTTTGTTCATGGATTCATTCATGTATATTCTTTGTTATATATTTATTTATAGATATAAATTACATTAAATTACATTACAGAAACTACATGAGCCAAAAACTATTAAAATACTAAAGATAAAAGATTATTTATGTATAGTTTATTTATTTAACTCGTAAACACAACCATCAAAAATGCATAATCCAGTTGAGCTCTGCTGCTGGAACTCAAATCCCTGTAAAGCAAACACTTGGACACTGGGGAGTCAAATCAAAATATCACTAATTAGCAAGCGTAGGGCAATTTTTTATTTAAGACTTTCAATAATATAATAAAGGTATAATTATGTGTGTACTGTGGAATTATGTTCGCTATAAATGCTGTAAAGTGACGCTCGTATAAACGCATCACTTTTCTCCACAAATCCATCCAAATGAGTCCACAAGAACCAAAATGTGAGAGTGAACAATAAAATCTTGCTGACCCAGTCGAGTATATAGAGGCGACGTAGCACTATTTTCGCATAGGGCAATGTGGCGTCACTTTCTCCCAGAATATAGGTGCGCATGCCGCGTATATAGTTGCTGATATAAGTCTCCCAGTTGACTTGGCTAACCGAGGTGTCGAACAGTTCTTGGTCCGTGGCATTTAGTGTGTTGCTCAACTCTTGAAATTTCTCATTTCTAAAGTCCCAGTCTTTTGTTGTGTAGTACTGCAGCAGCTTCAGCCCCGTGGATATTTTTCTCTGAACATTAACCAAGCTGTAACGGAAGGATTTTCACGTGAGTAAAATGCGCAGAGTCAAGGGCGGCGCCACTTACAAGGGCTTCTGGCCAAAGAGCAGCAGCCAAAAGTCTATAAAGTAGGCAGGCAGATAGTGAAAGAAGATAACGCAAAACAGATGATGGTAGTAGTTTCTCTTGATGGAACCTCCGGGATACCACAGCGCAAAGCTAAGCGGAGTCTCGTAGAAGAACTTGCGACCCGTCTCAATGCTCTCGCCCCAGGACATTAACGCTTTGCTGGAGATGCACAGATTGCAAAATTCCACTTGGTTCTGTTTGCTGGCTTTAGATTCGGCGCTAGCCTTGCCGCGTTGATAGCCGCAGAGTATCATGCCGTTGATGGCCTTGTCGACGGGTATTACCGTCGATGCAAAATCTGGATTGCAATGCATAGAACGTATAACGCCGCGTGCGGCTCCAATCATCAGACCCGTGGGTCCATTCACGCCCTCAATCCATCCTGGCATGGGCTCGTGTATGGCCGCCGTTACTGGAAAAGGTGTAACCCAACAATAAGTAGCGAGAAACCAGTTTGCGGGAACTACATACCAATGGACGGCCTTGTGACGATTACAGGTAGCTTTTTGTGGTATCTGCATATTAGATCTTCAGACAGTGCCTTGCTGTAAGCGTACGTGTTGGGCAAACCGTTGAGCAATCTGAAAATGAAAACGTATGTCAGGATGCAGTTGACGCTCAGCAGTCGTATGAATCATATGTACTTGGGAGTTATTTCCGCCAGGCCGGCATCGTCCATTGTCGCGACCATTTCGATGATGTCAAATGGATTTTGTGGCGCTGGATAGGCGCGCTCCTCCAGCACGCTCTCATTGCACTGGCAATACGACGTGGAGACGTGCACCAGAGCTTGCAAGTTTGACATCTTTTCGGCTAGTTGCAGCACCTTCAGAGTGCCCAGCACATTCATGTTGACCATCGGGCGCAGCGGCTGATCAAAGCGCACATTGGCCGCACAGTGGAACACAATCTCCACGTTGGAGGCGAGTGTGTTGATGTCATTGGCGTCCAGGCCAAGGTCCGGCTCTAGCACATCGCCCTTTACAACGCGCACTTTGTTAACGATGTCGGGATTCTTCTCCAACAGCTTGCTAAAAATCTGCAAAAATAACAGTTAACCAGTTAGCAGCGTGGGGTCATTAATTAAAAGACACAATTACTTCAAAAGCGCTAAGCTACTGTGTATATATGTATGTATGTATTTGTGGTTGTTGTTGTGTGTAACTGAAGTTGGTTAAGAGCTGGTGGGTTACGTGGAGCAGCTGCTTAGATTCGCCTAATGGACCATGTCTGTGCGCGCTCAGTGACAGAAATGAATAGTCATTGTAATTTTGGATTTTTTCGACACCGATATTGACTACCTTGACTTATAAATGTAGTTGCTGTGTGTGTGTGTATGTGTTGGGCTTGGCTTACAATCGTATGTCTTGCATTCGTTTGTCTATTTTATTTTGCCATAATTCTGGTAATTTGCCTCTAAGTTTAAATTTAAGTGCTACCATTTCTTCAATTGAAGGGCAACCTTTGATAGCCCAACTATCTCAATAGAACCCCAAATGTGTGAGCTGACCTTGACTGGATGTCTTACGCTCCCAAACTTGCAATAAAAAAGATGTTGAGCCACGTGTAAATGCCAGAGTCGGGTCGACATACTTTGATATAAGCGTCGTCTTCTTGTGGCGGTCAAGTTTCGTCATGGTTCTTAGGAATAACCCAGCTATAAATGCCTCGATTACAGCTTATTAAATGTACTAATTATAATTACGTGCTAAGGCACTGTATTGTATCTAAGCGGAAAACGATTGCATAAGAACAAAAATTACTCATTCGTGATGTATCAAATCACTGTGAAGTAATACGAAGACAGCCAACCACAGTTTGAAATATTATTGAGCTGCCAATGTGCCGTAAGGGCAGGCAGCAAAAGGTTATAGAACTTGAATAAAATATATAAATAAATAAATATAAAGACATTCATAAAGGCGGCGCTAGCAAATGGACAGCCAAACGACAGATAGCTAGACGAGTCTGGCACTATTTACTCAGTCTGTCAATCTCTATTAACTCTCTAAATAAACAAATAAAGGTTTTAACTTTTAAGTACAGATATGAGAATTTATGGAATTATGCTCAAAGACCCGAGTATAAAAAATAACTTAAAATATGAAATTAAATAAATTTTAATTTATGTTTTTTAATTTCCTTATTTCATTGTTTTATTTTATGATTGTCTTCCTTATTTTATTTCTTAATAGTCTAATATATTGCGAAACGTTTCATTTTTGCTAGTTAACCGAATAGCGTGTGCGTATTGTTTATGCCATGACTGTATAATCTAATCTAGCAGAATTTCCACTATATTAAGAATTTGTGATTTCCTTAATATTGTGAAAAATTACTAATAATTTTAAAAAAATTTCTTTAATTTTTTGTCTTGCATTAAAATTATCAACAAAAAATTAATACTTAGCGTACATTTTTTTTATAAAAACTAGTTATTGCATGATTATTAATAATAAATAAATAAAAAAATTAATTTAATTTCCTTGACTTATTTATTTCTACTTGTTCAGTATATAAGAAAATATTAAAATAAAATTTCTAGGGAAAATTGTTTTGATTATTCGTATGTGTACCTATTATTTGCGCCATGATTGTAGGACTCAATCTCGTTTTCAACTGAATCAACTGCATTTGATAAAAACTTAAATAGAAATAAAATTATGAAAATCAGAATTGCTATGATTAACATGGCCACTCGATTTTTTTGTAATTTTCTTAATTTATTAATTTTTACTCGTAATTTAATTAAAAGAAATACAAATTTGATTCATAGCCTACTATTTATGCCTTGACTGTGTAAGCTTTCGTTTACATCTAATTAAACGCATTTGTAGAATGAAGGGGGAGGGGTGGGGGCACTAGCATATTAATTGAGCTATGTGTTGATGGAGCTGCTCTTGGCTGCCATTGACGAATGATCGAATGAATGATTGAATTAGCTGTAATTGGACTTACGACACATTTGAAATATTGCTCCTTCCGCACAGTTGGTTCGACGCCCTTCTTTGTGCGTATCAGTAGATAGATGGCACTTAGATCAGAGCAGCTGCGCAATAGCTTCTCGACCAGAACTTTGCCCATGAAGCCAGTGGCACCTGTTATCAATATCGTTTTGCCGGCATAATAATTTGCTATCTCAGAGACGCCAGAGTCGGCGACATTATTCATTAACTCCATGCTGCCGAGTTCTGTGCTGCAAGAGACAAATATTTTGTTAGAACGTGCGATAGATGCATATGAACTATTCTCATTGTTGTTGTTGTTGTTGTTGTTGCAAATTAAGATCTAAAACGCGGCTCACTTGTGGAG